TGGTCATGGCACACCACCATGACTGAGCATTTATGCCAAGAAAGAGAAAGGCGCCATGTGCAGCAGTAATGGGCAAAGGCCTGTAGGAGTTCGAACAAGATGTCGCAATCTGCCGGGTTATAAGACCGTCCACTGGAACTTTGCCCTAGGTTCCGTCTGCTTGATAGGGCCGTTGTATTTATCCATCCAAAATTTTATCAGCCTCGAGTTCAAACGTAGAAATAACTATTTCATGGTCTGAGTCCCCGAGTGGGCCAATGGATGACACCGACAAAGGCACGCAACCTCTACAGAAAATTGGATCAAGTATGCTTGATCCTCGGGTGAAAAAATCGACAACCTGACTGCACATACCATCATCCGTAGCCACGAGTAGGTCTTTGAATCTTTTTGGGCCGGAAAGCGGAGACCATCAGGTTTCAGGAAGATTCATGTCACCCGCACGAAAATGACACTTAAAGCTTAGGTCGGTCACGGCATAAAACGCCTGTAAGATACGACGATCAAAATCCACAGTGGCGTTGGGTGTGCGATAGACGCAGCCAACGAGTAAGGAATACTTATTTTTAAAGCATTATGGAGCCAGCAGCTGCTTCCCACAGCAGAAAAGTGCCGGAATTCCAGCGACGGAAATTCAAGTGTTTACTTAATGTAGATGTAACTGCCCCCACCACGGCTCTCTTGACGGTCATTTTGAATGTAAGTATAGCCTAGAGGAATGAGTTTGGAATCAGCTAGGGAAGCTGTTGCCCATTTCTCAGTTATTAAAACAATAAATGGGCAGTGGAAGAACACCAGCTTCTGAAGCAAGTACATCTTATTTAGCAAGGATCTAACATTTAGAACAAATGGTATAAAGGGAAATACGGGTTTTTCCTGAGGGAGGTGAGCTACGTCGCCCCGTGGATGACTGCTCCGGAACATAGGGTTCGGATGAACCTATCCGGTTCTGTAAAATATTTTGTGGCATCATGAGACCCTGATGTGGATAAAACGGAGTAGGTTTTGCGGGGAGGAAATGACGGCCGGTGAAACTGCTTAATATCGTTTGCTGGCTGCTTTTCTACTTTGAATCCACTGGAGTGAAATTGAGGACCGATTGAGTTAACTGACCCAGAATAAACATTTGCATGGGGATAACATTGATAAAACGGCCGTGGAGGGAACATGTGAGGGGATGGTGGACTTACTGCTTCAATAAAAACAGAAATTTCATTCATGGGCGAGAATTTCGGCATATTCGGCTTAACTGTTTTGATATGAGTTTTTTGGGGTAGTTGGAGACACGCTATAATTGGGGCCGTGGAGTTTGTGGGGGTGGCGGGCTATTGTGGAAGGGAAGATCTCTTAGAGCAACCGAATTTCTTCAATGTACGAGTGGCTGAAATTGGATTCGGACTCGTCTTGGAATAAGCCACTTGCTTTGGTTTACTAAGGGTAACCCGCAGAGTCGGTAGGGGTGTTTGTATACAAGGCGTATTGTTGCATTTAAAGATCTTAACATCAAGACTAGTCGTGTTCCCTACAGAATTGAATATATGACGTGGTAACGCCGCAGATTATGTTGAATAAGACTTATTCAACATGACAGGGCCCGTTATGTCGGTTTTGGTTTACGACATTTTCAAATTGTTCAGTCCTCTCTGTATTGGTGTGATATCCGGAGAGATTGAACAAGGCCATTTACGGCAGAATTCTCTAGTTATCTCCTTCCTCGAAACAATAAAGTCAACTTATATCAAGGAGAAGAGAGTAACTAGTACTGGCGCACTATGGTTGAGCGAGCGCAATCATTTAGCTTGCGCGACACTGAAACCCAAATTACATCTTTGCACAAATCAGTACGCACCCTCAATAGCAGATATGTGATTCGGAATATTACACAGTATGAAATTATGCTTGCGTTTTATTCTCTCCTCACTTTCGGGGCTCGTTATCAGATAACTCTAAACGCTTATTCATTAATTTTCTGAAGTACTGTTTATATCGTCATATATCAACTGATGTTGTATTTCGTTGGATGATGCTCTGTTACGACTAGCGGAGGCGTAGTTTTGAACGACTAAAGGATCAAGATGTCCTCTATGGACCAATGGGATTATTGAGCCAGGCATACCTTGAAGAGGTTGCGAACACACGCTGGCATCCGCTGGGTCTTCAGTCAGGATTCTAGCACTCAGAGATGGAGAGGAAGCCGTGAACTCCCATCTTTTAGCCAGCCTTCCCCGAAGCACTACAAGGCAGGTTTTTCCTAGCGGTGCAGATACCGAAACGTTGTTAACTATAAACAAAACGCACAGAACAGCAAATACTACTGTTCATTTACTACAGTAATTAGAAACAGACGGTCTGACACGGCGTCTGTGAGCAAGCGCTTCGCAGAATCCAGCTAATTTGCCATACTGTCTATCAGACAGAGAGGAACTATGTCCTGGAATAAAAAGCGACTTTTAAGGAAGAACTCAATCGGAAATACGCATAAATCGCCTAGGAATGTTGAAGTAAAGGCGATGCTTCACTTGCCTTTGAAGTTGAGCTGCCAGCAATCCGCATTCCCAATAGTGAGCAATGTAGGTCAACAAACGACGCATCCGAAGAGGCTACAAGGCACGTTCAAGAGTGATAACAGTTCCAAATGGTCGCCGAGCACTCAGACGGTAAACAGCCAGTTTTTTTCTATGCAAGAAGGTTAAGGCCGTAGACATACCTTGAAAACCATAAGTGGAGTCGAGTTCCAGTTGGCAGAAGATAAAGCAAGACGCCAGTGGATAGGTTGTCATATGTACTGAGTGCTAAGGAAATGATCCAGTCAACGATAAGTGGACAGATCCAGGCCTGCGCCGCCCGTCGTTCTCGAAGGCGTGGTGGGCTTGCGTGTGCCGTTTATAACTCCCATTAAACAGGTTAACGCTGACACGGACCTACAACCTTGATAAGTAGAAGAGATCACTAGAACAAGGGCTTTATCTTCCCTTGTTCTAGCAATCGCTTCAACTTCTTATCAACTAGTTCCTGGAACTTGTATCTTCGCTTGTATCGACAACCTACCAATTTGTTAGCGCGAGAACGCCCATTAGTAGCTGTCTAGATGAGTCCGTAGGAGTCCGGCCAGTCGAACTAAAACAGTGAATCCAGCTATGGTATGCTTTTCAGATGCGGAAGGCTGACAGAAGCCTTAGGCGCCTAGAGCTTCCACAGAAAGTTAACAAACCGCAGGACTTAATAAAAAAGGGAATGTACAAAACAGTCTGAATGCCTTGGGTGCTTAGTGGACGTTAATTGAAATAACCAAACAATGTTGCGGAAATTAACTGAATATGGTGTGCCCCCTGGATCTTATCAACGCTTCTGATGGCTGACACGTTGGCATGAGACAGAAGAGGGCGTTCGATGCAACCCAACCGAGTGAATGCTGATCCAAACGAATCCGTCAGCGGGGAAGTATGACCGAGCCCAACACTGTCTCTGACGGCGTCTGCTGAAACGCCCTCCCCATGGGTAAATTGGGCAGCTAAGGAGTTTGTGATCTGGAGGCGACATTGAGAATTTTATGGTGTTGATCCCAGTTCAGTTCAGGGAAAAAGCGGAGAATGCAGGCTTGCGCTATTTAAAGGGGACTTGAAATTTCGACCGGATCTGCGACGCAACCGCAAACCTAGGCCTGTCCGAGTCTGTGTCCAAAGGTTATGTGGGCACGCCTGATCCACCCGAAGAGAGGCAGAGATACGCCAAAGGGACCAAGACATACCCTTTAGTGGATTACGAATTGACCCCATCCATATGTCCAAGGCAGGCATAAGAACGTAGTGTTGACAAGGATACTTGTGGGAAATGCAGTATTAGGTCAGGAGCTGCTGAGAACATAGCCCTGCGAGATGATTACCTGTACTGCAATCAGGCCTCGAACGTGCGAAGGCTGACCTATGAGCCCAATGGGATTTTTCGTACACCTTTGTCAACAAACATCCGCTCCCGATTATGCGACAGCACTGTCGGTCGCCGGACAATCACCATCGGGCAAGAACTTCGCCCAGAACCAATCTCTGTCGCCTCAAACAACCATTAAGTACATACAACTTTTTCCAACGAAAAGCAGACTACGGCAGTTAGCCTATTACTGCGGCTCCGACGAGGGACACAGCGGTGGAACACTCCACAGAGCGAGTGAAGGACGGGAGTCCACGCACACTGCCCTTCTAAACCAGTTACATTGCCGCGCCGTATACAAGTCCCGCTGCTCAACTTGTCCCACGTACCCCAAGTCCAGCTAACGCACCGTCAACCGAATTGATGATTTTGTCATATAACCGGGTGAAATTGCCACCTGGGACGAAACGACAATAAGATAGGCACGCTCATTAAGAATACACTGGAAATAACGAGCGCCAATGAAAGTGCAGCACTTGTCAGTATAAGGCAAGTCAACAACAGGCGCATGATGGTCCAGGAGAGAGTATATGGCAAAATATCGGTAAGAGTCCGCAATAAGGTGTCGGTTGGAGGATAGTTAAATATCGCAAATGCAGATACGCGAAACCAATACTGCCCTGCCACAAACGGCTATGCGACCCCCTAAATTTATCGCTTGAACATAGGTCAGACACCCGACAGGGAACAAATATGATTACAAAAGCAGCCTTTTTCTTACTTAAATCGGAGAATAAAAGATGAGACAGGAAAAAGGCAAACTTGGGAGAAGGATTACATGACGGAAGTAGGCGTGTAAAGTAACAAACGCGTGACGGCTAAAGACTGTAGTTGGCGAGATGCGCAGAGAAGACAGACCGAAGTGAAAACGGGGAGGGGAGACTGTGTACATGCAAGGCAAGTGGTCTTCGTTATATTGTGGAGAATCGAGGCGACAGAGCTGGTGTTGTAGTAAAGTGGCACAGGTAATCGTTACAGGCTGTAGTGAGCACTAAAAAGGTAGGGCGAAGTTGCTGCCACTTGGGTGGTGGTGGTGGTGGGGGGGTGGTAGGATGAGGGGCCGCAAATTCATATTACTGCATGCCACTTCCATGAGGACTTCCTGAAAAAAAAAGGAAGAAAAATGTAGACAAACAGTAATGGGCAATCACACAGAAAGCCTTACAGTTATAAAGACCGTGGCTCGCAAACTGTATACTAGAACCAACAGGGATGCATATATTGGTCCGGGAAAAACCGTCACACAATTTGACAAATAGCAGAGTTCATGTAAGGGGATTACTTGTGAAGGAGGCACAGAGTGCATACGTATAAAAGATAGAGAAAAGTCGAAGACCTGCAGATTAATCAAAAACGAGACACGAGTGACAGCTTCCCATGTTGCTAACGCAAAGTGATAGCGGCTGGATCCGTATGCCAGAGCCCACCCGAAGTACAAGAAAGTTTCACGATGACATTGGCCTAATCAAGCACACCAACAGTGTACAGATGTCCCTGGGGCGAAAGACAGTCGGAAAAACACTGACAGACAAGCTTGCTGGTGCTGGTGTTGGTGATAGTACCCAGTAGTGGCTTAGTAGTCAATAAAAGATTGAGCAGAGCAAACTAGGTTCACAAAAGACAGAAAAGGGTATCATTTAAAAGTGACAGCTCGAGCACTAGTGTTTTCCTCTCATGAATCGAGAGATTAATTGATTTGGCAAACAATCTAAGAAACAGTTGAATTAAAGCTTTACTGATCGAACGGTCCGGAAATTTGTTTACCTAACAGATTTACTCAGTGTTCGAATTCGACCAGGTTGTTCGGAAGTTCGGATTAGTTTTCAATCACTACATTGTGGTTGGTGTCTTCCTCAGAAGAAAACATCAGTTATCAAGGTGTGGAAACCCGCCACGTTAGACGTCTTGATTAATATTTATCCAAAGTAAACGCAACGTAGTGAATACTACATAGATTTGAGGGAAGCACGCCAAGTAATGCAGGCGTTCTGTCAGCAGTCGGGTTGTACGAGACGTCAGTGTCGGCGAGAGGGCGTTTAACAGTTGCAACAATTGCAGTAGATATGCTAACTCAAACAAACGGTGACTGAGATTCTGAAATGTGTTTTTATTTCAAAAGATTGCTTAAGTAGGGTTGTAGTATCAACCAGCATGTCGCATAAAATCAACATATTTCGGTCATTTCAGGATGCCGGGTTCCGAGTCTACTACAATCAAGTACATCGTTATTAGTATTAATTTTAGTAGGTGTGCTACTGTTAGCGGACCCTGGTTTAGGAATGGGGGTTGGCGTTGGGAGTTAGGGGATTCGGGTTCGGGCTAAGATTGTTTTTAGGGTAATGATTAAGGTTAGTGTTCAGTTTAGGGTTAACTTGATTGTTTAGGGTTACGATCAGCGGCAGTTTTCTCAATTCCGTTCTACCAGTAGTAGTTGGGGTTACTTCTTAAGGTAGGCCTAGTTTTCGGTTCACAGTTCACAAGGCTTCCAACTGGTATTCCGTCACAGTTTTTGAAGATGTGGCTTACTGCCAATCTTGCACCTACTTCCTAGACTTCCACCTACGGTTTCTGTCTGTTTGGTCACCTACTTAGGCGGTTTATTTTCGATGACCTTGACAGGTCAATTACGACTACTCCCATTGGAGTTGGTCTTATTGGTTTCTTATAGCGAGTTTTTGTACTGCGCGCTGCTTACGCTGGAATTTTAGCATCCATTATATGAAACTAGCACATTTACCCTTAACATACCCGTTTTCTGTTAGTTTTCGCACATCATTCGGTGTTTTCCCGTAGCCCCACCCATAACACTCCCACTACCACGGTTCCCGTATTGGAGGCGCGTGGGCTTCCCCATTTCGAAGTGCGGCCTCGTTCCCGAGCCTTGCCGCACACTCCGCAAAAAATGGCTGCTAAAATAGCATGCACCCTCACGTGTATGGAATATCTTGATATTACGCCGCATGATAATTAATATTACAACCCTACTTAAGTAAGCTTTGCGAACTGAAAACGCATTCCAGAATTTCGGTTACCATTTCATGAGATAGCACATCTACTTTACTATAGAAAGTTTACAGTCGGTCTTCTTGAACCTTCCCAGGAAAGGAAAGATTTCAGGAGAACCAACAAAGGAAGCCTTGAGTGATGGTCGAAAGACATACCTTCGAAGCAGTTCATGGAAGTCATGCGGACGTGTGACGAGGGAGTACCTTCACTGCCAGACTGCGAAGTATAAGGGGACTGGGGAACGTAGTTATAAACGGCTGCCTGTGAACTGTAAGAGGGTCGTGGATGAGGTGAGGGAGAAGGCATTTCCGGCGGGAAAACTGCAGAGTTAGGGGGAACTTCTGAGCTTTGCGTCCCAAAAATGCCCGAGCTCATTTCAATATTCTGTGGTTGGAGCTGTTGCTGATGATGGTCGTAGGGTGAGTTCACGTACTCAGAGTGCTGAGAATCCACCGGCGAGGGAGATGGACGCATCGCCGGAGCGCTCCCGTACATAACCGAGCGGTGTTGGCTACTCACCTGTTGAATAACAGGAGAGGTGCAGTGCTGCTGCTGTTGCTGCTGGGGTTGGATAGGGGAACGCCTGGGAAACCGAGACGCGACGTAGGCGTTGGCCCTATTGTTACCGCCACCGCCGCCACCATAACCAAAAGCACCAGCAGAGAAGTCCTGCATGTAGGTTACTGAACCGGAAGAGTGACCCGTTACGCGCGGCTCGCCAAGATCCTGGGAAAGAACAGGCGATCTTCCCACGGGCACTGCAGAGCTCTCAGAAATGGCAAACGGCGCGGACGAGTCACTGACCTGGCTGGAGACATAGGAACCCGGAGGTTGAAGCTGACGGTGGCGTGGAGACATACTGGAACCTGAATCGCCAGGTTGGTTGGCGTATGCAACCGCATCGGAGACCACATGAGCAATTACGTCGTCAAGGTGAGTGGTCGAGGGCTCCAGACTGGAACCCACTCTCTGTGGGCGAGTGGGAGTATGTGGGGAACTGAGCGGTTGGGAGACAGGCGATCGTCCGGGAACGGACGTAAAGTACTGTTGTGGCACCGGTTCTGTTGTCGGATGGAGCTGCTGACTAGATGCCGAGGGAACCTCGGAGGTGTTCGCGTCAGACTGCTGGTAGCGCAACTCCGATTCAAAGGGTGAGGCGGACACTGCAATAAGAGTCGTCATCAGGGTTAAGTGTGCATGGTGACAGGAGGCCGAAGCGTAAAACGCAAACCAAAAAGAGACGATCACGGTTATTACAGATGCGTGTGCAACTTGACCTCTCCGGATAACGGATTGCACGCAAAGATTTGGCCCGCAAGTCTTAGGACCATTAAAACAACTTGCGGTACTAAGAATAAAGGACAGTTAAGAAGCGAAACTAGGAGACTGGGAGGTTTTTACCGTTGTCTTCAAAATCTCACTAGAATTTCACCCATGGAAAGGCCGAATAATTCCAGTAAATGCATACGACAAATACCACGTAAAATAACGCCTTTTAGGGTAAAATTGCCCAGCAGCAATAGGTTAGTGGCCGACGTAGGATTCTAATAGAACCGACAAGCTGGTATGAAGTGCGTGACTTTAGGAATGCATTCCAAGGGTTATGTGAGAAAAAGCAGACGATTGTAGACACATTGTTGTTAAACATATGTATAGACAAGGGAGCTTAATCGCTATCGGGTACCCATAGCATGTATTTGCGACTGTTCGTCAGAGATCGAACGTTGACCCTCAGCTGCCTGAAGGTTATAGGTCTCAGAAGCGGATGTTCCAAGAAATGTATTCTCCCTTGTGGAGTTTGTCGGAGTACCGGAACTTGCACCTATAATCGCAGTCACTTCCTGATCCATTTGCACTGGTGTTGGAGGTGCAATCCGACGCTCCTTCCCAATGACACGGCTGACAATGACCGGGGGTTCGAAACCAGTCTCCTCCAAACCACCGGGCGGTAGGTTAGAGTCGGTTTTAGGGGTTTGCGAAAGGGGCACTTGACGGTAGGGGCTTCGTAAGGGCTGAAATGGAAAAGAAAACAAGAAGGCTCGTGCTTGCAGTTTTTTTTAGATCAGATTTACAGCCTAAAGAGTAGAAATGAAGTTTACAATTGAAAACTGCTCAAGATTTGGAGTCCAGAAATAAATGCAGAACTGAACAAAGGTCTAAGGGCACCATAAAAGGCAGATGTCCTACCGGTTCGGTCAGAAAGCCTTATGCAAAGGGTTGAAAATTGAGATCCACAACCTTCTCTCAGACTACCATCAACATCAAGGGTCGTGGCGTGATGTTCTAAAGCACGGGGCCCGATCCCAAGTGATCAATTCGTAGCTTAGTGATAGAGGACCTGGGTGCCGTTTGTTTCAAAGGTGCTAACTCGAAGCTTCAGGCATGAGGTCGAGCATAACCGACAAACAATTATGATGAGGAAGAACTTTTTAAGGCACGACGGCTACGCCAACCCAGTCAATTAAGCTCTGAGCAATGAGTAGATGCCACTGAACTGAATCAAGCTACAGGTGAAACTCTCTCGCTCTCTCTCTATGGCTGCCACGTGACCCAAACCTCTGCTACTGGCGAGAAAAACTTGACGGACAGCAGAATTTGGGCAAGACATTGGGCCAAATTGGCCCGAGGGAAAGGAACGCACAGAAACCACCTGACCGTCCTAGAAAGCTGCTGGACAGTATCGTGCGTCTGAAAAATCCACATTTAGCAGAATCACGCTATTTTGCCCAGAAACGGCAAATACTGCAGAAAACTTCGGAATGGTCTCTTGTCCTTGCCGGTCTTGACTAGTCGGGCGCATAGGGGACTCGAGTTCATGTAAGTAGACAATAATTGCGGACATAGAAAAGAAGAGGCTCACGTTCTGAACTTGCGAATCGACACTTGAACTCTGGTAAGGTGATGCAGTCGAGGAGAGCGGACAGTAAGAGGAGGGTGACTGCATCACTTCTGAAGGCCGTCGATGCTGCATGGTCATCGGAATTCCACTAACATCAGCATGTTGCTGCTGTGGATGGCAGGGCTGGCTGGGTGTAGGCTGTTCGCAGGCAGACAGACTTCCGCGCATTTGGGCTACGGAGGCAGAGCCGGACATTAGGACCGGTGGTGAGCAGAGAGAGATCATGGGAGAGGCTGGTGGAGCAGCTGGAGAGGAGGCCGACACGGAGGTGAGGCCACCTTGACTCTGGGGGGTGGACGGTGGCAAAGGGGACTGTACAGCCTCCATCCTGGAAACTGAGGGGGAGCGGGTAGTCAGATGCGCAGGAAGTGGTGGTGGCGGCAGAGACGTTGAGTAGTGTTCGCCGGGAGTTGCACTGCGGTGGGTAGCAGATGCATAGCCGCACTCGGGATTGTTGTTGCCGGAGAAGAACACTGTACCTGTCATGTGTGGAGTGCGCGCAGTAGGCGATAGAAAGCTAGTGGTACTGGGGTGTTGTTGTTGCGGGTTTTGGTGTTGCTGTTGATGATGTTGAAGCTGGTACTGATAACTTGGTATCTGCGGGAGGTGGTGTTGCTGTAACTGATGATGCTGCTGTTGCTGTTGAATCAAATGAATGTTCTGGTACTGGTACTGACGAAGATGGACTTTTTCGGCCAGAATTTCCTTTAAACGCTGTCTTTCGACGTCTGCCGTCGAGATGATGCTACTTTGAGAGAGATGTTGTGGCTGCAAAGTAAAGCAGACAGGAAGGTTGTAAGATGTCTGTTATCCACGATACAATGCGATCAGAGATAAACAAAAGTTGAGAAGTAAAGACACGAGGGAATAAAAAAGAGGAAACAGGTTCATCGGGCATACAGAGGAACGGAGTATACAGGGGGCAGGGAAGTATCGATTTAACGACACAGCACTTGTCCGGCAGATTGATCAACATGGACGGACGCAATTATCAGGCAAAAAGCCAGTAACAAGTACCGAATATTAAGGTCGAAGGTCAGTGCAAACATTGTGGAACAGGACCGCGTTGTCTGTGGGAGTAAGCAGAAGGAAGTGTGCCAGAGGGTACATTGGAGGGAAAATACTAGGAAGTCATTAGAGAAGACGAGATCACAGATAAACGACCTCTATTTCTATTAAGCAGATTCATCAGGTGGTGACTACGATGATAGGGACAAATTCTGGTACTCCAAAAAGCTCCACAAGGGAGAACACGTTCTCTGAAACATCCGCTTTTGAGACTTATAACCTGCAGGCAGCTGAGAGTCAACGTTCGGTCTCCGAAGATGACAGGAGAAGCTTCTTAGAGTGCGTGTCGGTGAACTGCCCATCGAAAGTTCACTTGACAATGACACACTTCTTTCCTATTAGAAGCTGACGCACTTTGCTTCGGGTGTCCGGGTAGCCGGGTGTCGACGAATTACAGACCCACGAGCTTCACATTCGCTCTCGGCAGAGTCGTGAAGAGTATCATGAGGAGCGAATTGATGCAATTCCTGTTGTTTCACAACCTTCCACCGAACTGTCAACATGGGTTGCGGAAAAGAAGATCCTGCACGATAAACCTGCTGCAATTCCGATCCCATTCTTACCTGAGAGGCAGAGGAGTAGGTAGACGGTTGGTGTTTTTGAAGGTCAGAACGACCTGGCAAAACTATGTGACCTGGATCATGTTGTGAACATAAAAACTACTTTTCGGATGATGCTACTAGGAGAGAATTACTGGCATTGACACGATCCCACTCATTCATGGGCGACTGAAACAGTGTAGCATGAAAGTGCGACGGCGTAAAGACGATTGAATAATACAAATGGCTGTCTGATGTTCTGAGATTCACCCGACCTTTGTAGGCAAGATCTCCACTACAAAGTCATTTTGCTGTTGGACGATGGAGAATATATTCACAGGGGGTTACTGATCAAAAACGCCTGTAGTTAAATGCAGAGAGAACGAAGTCAACAGGGGTCCTCAGACCAAATAATCGTCCATCAGAGACGCCTCGAATCGATCCCATTCTTACCTGAGAGGCAGAGGAGTAGGTGGAGATTGGGTGTTGCTGAAGGTTAGGGCGGCCTGGAGAGGTCATATGACCTGGATGCTGCTGCTGTTGTTGTTGCAGGGCTTGTTCCGGCCTCTGCATCGCAAGACCTGGCGACGAGAGTGGCGTGGCTGCGGCGGCAGCAGCAGGCGAGGCCTGTCGTGGGGATGCGGCGGCGGCGGGGGTCGAGGGTTGCACAAAGCCGGCCACGGGTGAGCGCATGACCGAGTTTATGGGTGAGGAGGGAACGCCGGACTTGTAGACGGCGGTCGGCGTGGCTGTCACACTGTCTGGCGCACTGCCAGCGGAAGAAGCACCACTACTTCCTGCGGCGGTGTACATGGCTTGGCAGGTCGGGAGCCTTGAGGTGTAACAGGACGGTGGCCAGGTTGGGGGTGGCGGAGGCGGTAGATGGGGTTGTTGGGTGGCGCAGCCACTGCCCTGGGTTGTATGATCACCGAGGCGCACCGGCTGCTGTTGATGTGGTTGCTGAGGTGCCAGTTGTCCGATTGAGGGCGACGATGGGACAGACGGCATAGGCGAAGGTGGCTGGCTCGCATAGCTAACGGATTGGCCGCTGACAGAGGGAAGTCCACGGTTCATTTGTGGTGTCTTCGGCGTACAGGGTGGATTCTGTGGGTCAGATAAGAGTGGTAGTAAGGCCTTGTGGTTTAGCTGCGAGAATTAGATGTTTAAATGCTTGATACAGAAAACGATAAAGTAGCCTAGGACGATAAAAGTTTGTGAAGCAGTCGAGTGCCAAAGAAGGATGGCAATGGGAGCCTATATCGGCTCCCCTTGCGACTCGCTCCATTTCAGTTCCACATTCTTACTTCTTTTTTTATTATACTTTAGATCCGAGTGTCCTTGAAATGCGGCTTGAACCCGAATATCAGCTGTTAGAAGTTACAATGGAATAAAAGTGAGCGGACCGTCGCGAACGACAAAAACTGCCACCTGACGAGTGCAAAGTAGAGCAAGGGGTACGGGTGGCTAAATAGGAAGTTAAAAAAAGAAATTAACGGGAAACAGGAATTGTGAGGAAAATACTGCGCCACTGAGCAAGTTAAATATTTCAACCATTACAAGACATAGAAGAACAAATTGAGAAGTATGATCGTAGAAACGCACAGATAATTCGGAAGAATTTAGTTGTCTCGTGGATTGCACTCATGTGCCTCAATCCCTTCTAGTCAAGTACCGTGAAACATTCGTAATTTTCGATTCATACCTAACCGGAAGTGAATTCATCCGAGCAAAAAAGCTTCAGGAACTGACTTCAGCTCGGAACCTTCTGGACTTTACTCAGAACGTTCACTCTACGACAACCGATACTGGAGAGGCCTTAATTTTTCATGAGTCTGTACAATTATTTACCTTTTGCCGTTTTTCCTATCCCCTTTTTGATGTCGTTATTTTTCTTGTAAGAAACGAAGCGTCCCCCACTTGGAGTTAAGTTTTTCCTGTATCAATTTTTCTTTGTGGTTTTAATTGCCGTTTACACTACAGGTCATATCCACCTAATAAAGACTACCACCGAAATTACTGAAGGAAGAGATAAGGAGTATTCTTCACAGGTTTTTCCCGTTGGTCTACATGTTGCAGCTAGGGCTGTAGCAAACACACGAGATGGAGAGGACGAGCAAATACGAATGCAAGAGTCAGAACGAGAATACCCTATAACAGGGCTTTATTCATCTTACAATTGGCATACAGGGACTAGAACGAGAAATAGAAAAGTGGTAGTGAAGATAGAATTTAGCCAGGGCCTTATGTTAACGTGACACTACACAAAAGAAGAATGATTCCTTCCCCCATCCGCAGAAAACATTCCGATTCCAAGCGTACACAATATAAATTTTTCGGAAGATCTTATTGGGAGAGAATTAGTGGCATTAAAAAGATTTTGCCCAAGCTTCTCAGAGTACGTGTCAGCAATCTACCTGTATAAAGTTCATTTGATAATGGAACACTTTTATATTGAATTCCGGCGCACTTTACTTACCTATACAAAAGCTGTGGCCGGGTGTCAACGAATTACAGACCCATGAGCTTTACATTTGTTCTCGGCAAAGTCATGAATTGCAATTTCTGTTGTTTCACAAACTTCTATCGAACTGTCAACACGGGTTCCAGAAAGTAAGATCCTGCAATCAACTTAATGCAATTTATTCAGAGGACCCGAGCTTTCACGCTGTCCGCAACGCCTTCACCGACTTCCAGAAGGCCGTTGATACTTTATCACACCAGAGACTGTTGTACAAGGTCGAAGAAATAGGGATTCGAGGGGACTTCCTCAAATGGATCGAAAACTTCCTGGTGAGTCCGCGTCAGTTTGTTTGCATCCGTCAAGAGAAATTAAATCCTGCTAAGATTGAGAGTGGGATTCCCCAGGGTTCAGCACTGGCACCATTTTACTATTAATATATGTAGACGGCTGCGATAAACATTTGTACTGCCAAGCAGCAATGCTAACTGACAATATGAAAATCAGAAGTACAATTTGGAGAATTGCAGCGAAGGCAGACAGTACAACAACCTAAATCAGTTTAAAGTGTGGGCTCTGCAGACGCAAGAAACTATCTTCTAGACGGTGTAGTCTTACAAGACGTGGGAGCCCAAAAGACCTCGGTGTGCTGTTGACAAACTGCGTAAAACCGTCCACTCATTGCTCAAGAGTGACAACAAGCGCAATGCCCGCGTTCCACGTCATCAAGAGAGCCTTTACGGATTTTGATCAACACCTCTTTTCCAATATTCTGAGAACACTGGTGAGGTCGTATTTAGAATACGCCATACATGCCTGGAGATCGTGGGCAATCAAAGGTCAAAGAAGTCTCGAAAGAGTTAAAAGGAGAGTCACTAAAATGGTTAAGGATCAAGTATCTTTGTTTTGTGCAGCCTGCCTAAGGAACCTAAGCCTCGTTTCTCTAAGTTACAGGCAAATGCGTGGGGATCTCCTACAAGCATTCCGCACTGTGGAAGAACTGGACTGAACAAGTATGCCCATCGTGTGCCCCCCAGCATGGTGGGTGCAAGACGGTGACTTGTGCGTGAAGCGGTATACAATGATGACATACTTGCGTAGCATCTGCTGCACTCTCTCTTCTCTCACCCACCTGAGCTCGGTGGCAAAACCGAGGCGGGATCAGGCGCAATGACTGGCAATGCTAGAGTGGGATGACTAGTAGACAAAGAAGGCAACTGAGTAAAGAGGCGCGGTCGAGGCGAATGAACTTCATCTTGGCCTCAAACCCATTCGGGCAAAAGGCCCCACAACAAAGATGCAAGAGAACAAAAAAGGATCAGACGTGAACATCGAGCGATTGCAAAGAATGTTTTCAACGGTTTCTTTAAGTTCAATAGAACGCTAGGTGTCGCGCCGATGTCTGAAATGAACAATGCAAAATGCGGAAGGGGATGGATTCCGTGAGTAGTATGGGCGACAACTGATTCTGCTGGGTAGTTAAGATGCTGAACGAAGCATTCGCGAATTAACACAAATCCCTCTCTGTTGCTCTGTAAACGTGCATAGAAACCTTCCTCCCACGCTGCGAGAAAGAAATCCACCCTACACATGTCAGAGCTGGAAGCAGAGTGAGCAGTCGGGTACTTGGATATTGGGAGTCTGACATTAAGGGTCACGCCCAGGACAAGAGCTCTACCTGACCTGCAAGGTTAGGTCGCGGAGGAATAAAGGTATAATGCGAAGCCGGCTGAAAGAAGGCAGAATGCTGACAAAGGTCACCAAGAACGCCGTTAATTATGGTGGCTAGATGCTAATATTTATAAACCGTCTAATCAAAAGGCGAATGTTTCTGCCTCTACAAGAAGGCGGAAGATTTCCCCTGATCTAGCTCAGCCACTAAATTAGGCTCTTGTATATCGAGCAGCGTCAATTGGAGACAGGTACTTCGCCAATCGTACACAATGCGGAAGCCGAACGCTAGGGGACGGGACAGTGATTTGTGGGTGAAGTGGAGAAAACGTGGACAGCGCCTACCGCATCCACTCTTTTTAAATCCAGACTGCGCCAATGGCAGGAGGAAGTCTAGACAACTGTGCGTCACGAAGTTCAACCAGAGCTTGAGAGTGCCACACACGTTCTGGCCTGCAACCCCACACGAGAGACATCCAAAAAGGATTCCCGATTTCCCAATGACGAGCAGCCATAAAGGAGCTATCGCACCTTGATATGCAGTCTAGTGAAGAACTTACTTAGCCTGTCAGTCAGGAGCATTCCAAACGTCAATGTTTCGACAAGCCGTAATAAGATGAAACTTCCTCCGATTTCTTGGAGTGAGAACAGCCCGCTCAGTGGACCGACATTCCCCGCTCTCGTCTTTCCCATTCTGTGCCAGCACCATGCTCGAATAAATTCGGCTGAATATGAGATGGAGCGCGCAGTGGCTACCATGGCATGAAGTTCGCGTTTGCGCGCGTGCCACCTAGCCCAGCGAGAACCAGACTTAAAGAAGGGGATCTCGGAAATCATAAAAAAGGGAGCTGCATATTCAGACGGGACCATTGCGACCTGGCTGCCAGTTCTGAGTTATCTCAGTAATTAGCAGTCCTATGAACCACGACATTTGGATCATTTTTACGGGTTAAAAGAGGGCTGGATTTATCATAGCGCGGAAAGCAGGCACGAATCAACATGGGTCAGCTCACCTTATGGTCGGCTGAGTCCTGTAAGTGAATTTCGGTGCTGTAGTCGGGATGGCTTAAAGTCTTAACTGAACGTGTGCAACACACATGCTTGGCTGCTATCTAGATCAAACGCAAACGAAACAGCCAACTTTTGGGGCTGAACATGTAGACAAACGCTCAACATCAACAAACATTCACTTTTGAAGGGTGAGTGCGTGCTTCCGATTCACAAAATGGCCCTTTTTGGAGCTGAGGTTCGTACAGGCAAAGGGATGCACGTGGTCGGCATAACTAAAGCAGCCGACAGACACTAGCAACAGCTGTAACACGAACAGCAAATGGTTTGTCAGGTTTCTTCTTTTAAGACAAGCAGTGGTCAACCTGTGGGTTAAGACAGCCAGTTGGAAAGAAAACATCCAGGTTCTGAGCGTGTTAGAACATGTCCAACAGCACACGCCATACAAACCGTCCACGGTCAAGTCAACTATGCTACCTGGCGTACGGAGGGTGCCGATGGTGGGAATCCATGCTGCAATTTTACGGTTACTCCAGATTTGTTGATGCAGTTGTATGAACGCTGCGCAACCCTACACTGACGAGTATAAACTCCCGCAGATACACTTCCAGCAAGTACCATGGACGAAGATGTGGCATAGGCGATGTCAACTGGGCATGGTAGCACAGAAACGACCATGACGTTAGCAAGTACCTGTAAGCAATGCACTAGGGACATTGATGTACCCAGTGGATACTCATGCATCGTCCCGTTTCGTCCTACCACCCAACCCTCATCTGTGACTCCACAAAGCTCGGCTGAGCACGACGGCCACACCCCGGTAACCTTCCCTGACCAGCGAGCTAAGCCAGATGAGGGTGTCCGGCGTGTGTGTTTTCCCACTCGATAGTTTCAGAAATAATCCCTATCAAACCTTCTCTCCATTCCCAAACACAAAGGACCTACGCAGACGGTGATGTGCTACCCATAGGCGGCCTAGGCTAATTCAGGTTAACTACTCATTAAACAAAGGTCGTGACCAACAGTGGAATTTCGGCAGTCGCCTGCGAAGATTAAACAGTCGTATTTAGGGATAACGCTGCTCACCCCCTCCTCGTGAAGCCAAACATGGTGGCGCAAGGTTTTCGAGTAAGAAAAACCATTGGCAATCTCACCCTGATCTGTGAACGCAAAAATGCGGTGGAAAAAGTACAATCTGGCAGCCTGGAATATTTGTTCCATGTTAGACAATCTAATAGCAAACCATCTGAAGAGGAGGATGGCCATGGCCAACCGTGAACTGCCCCGCTACAAAGCAGAAATTGCGACTTTGGGTGAGACCGTCATACGAGCAGGGAAAACTGGGGATAGGTGTAGAATATACTTTCTTTTAGAGTTGGCGTCCAAGGACAGAGTGACGAGATGTCTGAGTTGCCTTCGACACCAGAAACGACATCACGAAACGGTTGTCCTGTCTGCCACAGGGCGTCAATGACCTTATATGGCCATGATGATGCCAATCCACGGGAAAAAAAGTTGCCATCGTCGTCAACGCTTACGATTTCCCCAATGACCAGCCCCAATAACGTGAAGGACACGTTCTATGAAGACCTGCACGACTTGCTTGTGATCCCGTGTTGAAGGCGAACAAACTAAATGTCATTGGGTGACGTGACCTCAGTGGCCGCGTCTTCACAGACCCCGCAGCATGGGCGGATGTGTGCTCGGTCGTCACGGGATCGGCAGCCACAACAGCAAGGACCTTTTCCGCCTGCAGGTCTGTGCAGAATACAATCTTCTTCTGATCTTTCGCACCTCGACTCGGGAGAAGGCGACGTGGATGCACCGTCACCCGCACTACTGGCAACTGCCAGAATACGTCCTCGTTCGTAGGCGTGACCCACTTAATTTGTTGGTGATCACGGCGATATGTGATGCCAACTGCGTACGGATCACCTACGACGGGGCTCCAAATGCAAACGCGCAGACGACGGCAAGAGAAGTCAGTATCAGGTAAGTTAAATACTATATTATTTGATACTGCTGTGAGCTACTTGAGTTTTATCACTTGCGTTAACTCTAGACTGGAAAAAATGCAAACCGAAGTGGCGCATACTACCGTTGAAAGACAGTGGAGAGACATGTGGGATACCGTCCATTTCACAAGGACTGAAGTCCTCATTCACGATTGCCAACAGCACCAGAACTGGTTCGATGACAGTGGCGTAGAAATCCACACTATCTTCTCTGAGAAGAACAGGCTATAAGCGGCCTACACCACCAAGAACGGAAACGCAAATGAAGACGCGTACTTAAAATGCCGACGACAACATAGGCTAAGGGAGATGCGGAAGGACCGGCTGACTGACAATGTAGAGAAGATACACAAAATACCGTCTATGGCGAGATAAAGAATATTTTTTGCGACCATCAGGGCGGTCCAGGGTACTCAAGCGAAAGGTACTGCGCCACTGCTGAGCTTTGATGGGACAAACGGGCTGTCAGATAAGATATAAATCTTGGAGGACTGCGACGCCGACTTCCAGAGCGTCCTCAACCATTAATCTGCAATCAACTGGAAGACAATCTACTGACTTCCTCAAGCGGACACCAATGACGACCTCGATTGTCCGTCTTCCGCAAAGTGGGTCGCGATGAGTTATGGAACCATGCTCCTTTACGCGCAATGGTGGTGGCCAGATCGTGTGTGGCACGGGTAGATGGACTGTCTAGCTGTCCGTCACCACCTAACCTCAAAACCAGCCGGTCAACAGGCTCGGACAGTCGGCTGGCGCACAGAATAGGGAAAAGAGTAAGGCTGGCACCGGGAAGTCATCCCCACGACACACCGCTGCATTCCTTACTATAAATCTGACGAGCTCAAATCTGCCGCGATGCGCTAAAAGTCGTGAATCGTAAGACTGCCAACTGACAGGGTAACTTGACCCTGAGGGAAATATGTTGGAGTAACTGGAGGACTGAGACTTAGGCCTCAATGGCTCCTCTTCAATGTGGGCTCCATGCCAGCCTCACACACGTGGGATCCGAGCCGCCCTCGTGAAAGACCGAGTCGCGTGTGCGGCGCGCGTGGACGAGCGGTTTAGCACTGTGAGCCATTGCGCCCAAGTCCACCTTCGGTAGTCTTGAAGTGGCCGAACCTCGACCTGGACCCAAGAAGGGCATACTTAAGAGGTGACCTGGAGACAAGCCAAACAGAAGAGATCAAGAGCCCGGGGGAGAGGAGGGGGGCAAGGGACAAAAGGTGGGAAACACGCAGAAAGAGTGAACAGGTAAAGAGTAAACACGAACCTGCAAGTGACGTGCTGAGCCATTAGGCGAGGGCGAAGAGGAGACCTGCGATGGCGTCACAGAGGGCGGACCATAAGAAGAGGGATGCAGCGGAGTACCGCAGGCAATTGAAAGAGAGTCCGCGCTAGAGGAGTTCCTTCCTAAGGGTTCCGCGCACCTTGAGTAAGCAGGGTATTGGAGGACTCCGTCGGTTGGAGTGTCGTGGGGAAAGAAGACGGACTCCCTAGCAGTGCGTGATTCGGACAACGACGGACTACTGACGGCTAACTGTTCTTCAGCTTTTTGCGGTTTTTCCTGTGCAGATTCGAGGCCGCCAACCGTTGAGGCAAAGACCTGGCCGCTTTCAACAGCGACACTTCCATCCGAGTGATGAGAGAGGGGAGTCTAGACGACGGAAGCATGCGATATAAATGAAATTGACCGCGAAAGTCGAAGCTGCTAGCCCATCTAACAAATGCACAATAAAGGAATTTGAGACCTGACGAGTTGGAAATGCTCTATGATGGTGAGAACGTGACCCTCCAGGTTGTGGGCGACGTGAGATTTTAGATGTGGCGTTAATGAATAGCTGATTTCGTGAAAGTAACGTTAGTGATCTCACAAAAATATGAGTATGATGCGTCTGGGACGGATATTACAAACTGCGATGTCCTGTAGGGGTTTGACTCAAGCTTAATTGAAGCAAGCGAATATGATTTGCGGTATAAAAGAATGTCGAGATCTCCAGCATTCCGGGCTGGTACCTACAACCTGCCAGAGATGCGACTGTGCCAGTAATGAGTAGGCTAGAAAAAGTTATTTTCTTGACAACAGGTGGCAGTAGGACTTGAAGGAGCGCAGATAAACGTAAAACTGAATACATACAAGGTTAGATGACGGAAGATCACCCTCGGGAGGTTCGCTGAGACCGGGCGTTTTGGCGGTCACAGTGGAACTCAACGAATCCAGGACCTGCGGGGAGGCTGCAACAATTGGGTCCTGAGAAACTGTGTAGATAGTATGAGGCTGTTGCGGCGGCTGCTGCTGCTGCTGCTGGTTCAGAAGGTCCTGGTAGGACTGAGACTGACGCAGGACGGCCGGCGATTGAGTGAATTTGGGCGAAATGGGCGTGTTACGGCCCTCCCCAGTCATGGTAGGCCCCATCTGTGCGGACGTTGAGCCGTGGGAAGGTATGGTAAAGTGACCTGCAGTTCCGGTGCTGGAATGAATAGCATTTCTACTTGAGAGGTTTGAGGCGTTCTGGCTGGCCTTCAGTTGCGTTCGGTTCAGTCGCGCTTGATTCTAGTGAAAGAGCAGAAGTAGGCGTGAGACGGTGTAAACATAAAAAAGACTTAAGGAGGAAATATGCAACGAGCAGTTTAAACAAGCCAGAAGTTAGAGACGGAGTTGAAACTTACCACAAAATCACAGCGCTTGTCACTGGGAAGGCGCCTCCAGAGTTTGTGGATTTCACGGGCGCGCGTTGGGAAGTCAAGGACCTGGCTGCGCAGATGCGGATGTAATATGTTGGCGTGGAGGATCGGGGCGATAGTGGACATATCACCGCGCCTCTCATCAGCCTCCCAATTGGCATAATTGATACGACTCGACGACGGTGCCGGGCTCGGCGTCGGGACGCTGGAGGTTGGAAGAACGTCAACGCCGGACATACGGGGACTAACATCTAGAGAGAAATACAGTGATCAACAAACAAAAGATGGAGCTTTATAACAAAGCATTTTTCCTTAACATTAACATGAAGAAGATACTGAAACAAGCAAAGATAGGGGAGAGTTCGTACGTAAACAGGCTGACAGGAATAGAACTAAACGTCGAGAATGCGACCTAATGACAGCAAGTTGGCATGACGGGTGAGGAGCAGAAAAAGACACCTGCCTTGGCGAAGCATGCTTTTGAGCTGCTGATTGGCTAGGCCTTCGGTGCAAGGTGCAAGGCCTACCACATCGACACCCACGCCAGTGCTGGGCGTCCGAATGGTACCCGGGTCCCCTCCAAGAGGTGAAGTCTCGTAGGAAAAGTGTTGCTGTTGGAAGGTGCGACCCCTTGGAGACCCTGCGGCAGACGACGCGGCCGAAGGGCCCACCGACATACTCGGTGAGGCCATCACGCGCCCAGTAGTCATCGGACTCGACATCTGTGTCGCTGCCGGCTGGTAGGCACCGGCAGGAATTGTGACACGCTGACCTGCCTGGAATAGCGCCTGTTGTTGGGACGAGTCTGGGTCTTTGAAGTGCGGACGAATGCGTTGCTGTTGTTGTTGTTGTGGCGACATGAACTGTAAAGTGGAAGGGTTAGGGGGCGATGAAACCATCTTTTGGGTCGGACTCTGTTGCTGTTGATAAGGATGTGGCGATTGCGGTACAGAGGTTGGACCGGCAATCGGAGAGTACTGCTGAGACCATTTCATAGGACGACTGTGGGAGACTGGATAGGGCGGAGGAGGAGGGGTACTCTCCGTGGGCGTCTGTACGTACTGCGCTGACGCGTGCTGCTGACCCACATAGAACTGCTGGACAGACTGTGTCTGCGACTGATGGGGCTGCACGATCTGGCGGAGCTGTTGACCAGTCGCAGGAACTGACTGCTGTTGTTGCTGGACCACAAGTTGGCGCTGAATTGGAATTTGAGACTGCTGAGGTTGGGTTGGATAGCTTTGGACAACATGAACAGGTCGTTGTGCTGCCCTGATTTGATGCTGGTGCTGTTGTTGTTGTTGTTGTTGTTGCATGAAAGCCTGTGAATTACAGACGCGACCAGACTGAATCATTCCTGGGGACGGCCTCTGATTATGTCGAAGCTGCCCAGACTGAGGTCTTGGGGTGGGAGCGCCAGAAATGGTGCCTAGGACGAAAGAAGAAGTTTAGATAATTAATAATCGAGATGGTGAATTTTGTAGAAACAATTGATAGGAAAGTCACTTAACCATGTGCTAAGTGCTTATAGCAGCAATAACAAGAGGAAACTGAACACAGACGACGACATAGCGAGTATTGAGAAGGGGCGAAACCAACCTGGGATATACGACTCGTCCAAATTCTGTTGCTGCTGCTGAAGCATGGATACCTGCGAGGTTGCGCACTCTTGATGGAGCACTACTTCAGGATCGACACTCTGCATGACCATGAGCGGCTTCATTGAGGAAATATGGGTGCTAGAAGCGTGCACACCACGTGGGGTCTTCTCGTGAGGGGAACTGAGGGGTTTGGTCTTCATACTCGGAGACTGCTCACCGGGTGTATAGGAGTGAGGTGTGAGCGGCAACGACTCCTGGTGGAAGCCGGAGAAGGCTTCGCCAGAGAGATTGGAAGACATCTGAGTTCTACAAAGCACATCGCTGCCAGACTTTGGGCTAGCGACGATATCCACCAACTGCATAGGAGGAGTGGCGTGACTGGCGGGTAAACTTCCACGGTAGACATCCGTCCTTTCAAATTCGTTCAACTGTGACTCAATGTCCATCACGCTCAACTCAGGTAGCAGGCCAATACCGGTTTGGCTTTGTGAATCTCCCAGGGCAGAGGAGCCGGCTTGGGTGGGTGACTGGCAACCCACTGGCAGACGCGACATAGGGTTGGTGTTGCGTTGCATCTGACAGAGATCAGGGGAGTTGGCAATCTTTATACGACTATCTTCTATGTATAGCGCGGTGCCTAATGACTGCTGGTTCATGACGTGGGGAGAAAACCGATCAGAACCCAGAGGAGCTGTGTCCACTGACGGCTCATTCTGAAAAAGTGGCAAGATTGAAAGGTAAGGGTTAACATAGAGCGGATGAGAAAATTATCGCACAAGCATTTTCAGCACTCGGTCCCAAGAAGATAAAAAACACAAAGCTTAAAGACAGACTTCACGTGAAACAGCAGGATGTCTAGGTTCGTTACAAGGATTTAACGAACACTAAAGAGAGTACGTAATCGCTACTCAGAAGAACTATAGACCCCAGTTGTTGTTATTCACTGAATAAACAGTCGAGGATCTGATAAATACAAGAGCTTTATAATGTTGTGAGTGAAAATATGAGCTGTTAAAAGTGCACGAGATTACAAGGAGAAAAAAAACAACCTTCAGGGCTATTCCCTGGGTGTAAAAATATCTTGCTCTGAGTGGGGACATTTTATCCCATAGATGTTTCAGAGGCACCGGCAGGAAAGCAGGTAGCCAAAAACAAATTGCCCATTAAGTTGCATGAAAGGAATGGTTGAAAAAGCACGTGATCAGAAAATAAGATCTGGCGACCTTGAATATCAGAATGCTGGTTAGAAACCCTGTCAAAGGTGGCCAAGCATAACATCTGTTGGACCACTGTAAACGCCCACCTGAATCGCGTGAAATCATATCTCATGCATGACTAATTAGCCAGATGCGAGCTCTTAAATACAAAGGAGAGAGCTATTCGAGTAGTTTGAAGCCATCACCGGGTCCACTAATAACCAAGTCGTGGAAGACAATGCGCCACCTCGGCATGAGGAAGTAAACGACCTCGGGTAAAGCTATGCCCTAGTATCACGTGGATTCCCCAAATAGAATGGTACCACACAGTTACACAGCTGGAGTGCCACATAAAGAAGTAGCCACTGTTTTATAAGTGACAACTCTCATCAAACAATTTCAAAAGATTTTTGCGAAAAGCTTATAGCATGCGGATGTCTGCAGCAGTGGCTGTAACTTACCTAACTTGTTAAAAACTAAGTGGCCTCGGCGGAATCCGAACCGACGACAGTGGAGACGTTGGGCTTGAGTGCAATTAGCGGTCTAGCCGACTGAGCTACGAGGCCCCGACCGAGGGGCCTTGCATTTTTACATCTAGGCTTACTTGTTCGCTACGTCCTTACTGTCGCGTGTTCGAGTTTCGCCGAGGTTAATAACTGCGGAAAATTCAGGGCCCTTGGTCGGGGCCTCGTAACTCAGGCGGTTAAACCGTAGGCTGCACGAAAACCACGTCTTCAAGGTCGCAATTACGAATCCCGACGAGGTCACCGAGGTATTTAACAATTTTGTCAGTTAACTTATTCAAGCCTGCAAAAATATCTATTAAGCAGTAGTTATAATCCGTGTAAAGACCAGGCTTAAGAATCCACAAAGGCGCGGGTAGTGTCCCGCACTTTTGATCACACTGCGGGTGTATGCGTTAAATCCTTGACCTGTAGGGCGGTATTATACGCCCTACAGGGCTATGTCCATTACAAAGAAGTCTTCAAAATTTGCTATTCAGTAAAAACCCGTAACGTTTGGAACAGCCAGTACCGTAAACCATGCATTCGCGATTATCTGTATTCAGTAAGGACGTGGCGAACAAGTCAGTCTAGATGTTAAAATTCAAGGCCCCTCGGCCGGGGCCTCGTAACTCAGTCTTGTAAAAGATAACATTCTGGAAAGCCTCCTCAACTGGAGTATGGATACGACAACCTCACTGATGTCAGACTAAACATAGACGGGGAGGAACCGACTGGGCAGTGATATTAAATGCATGAATACTTCGTCTGATGGCACTAAGGCTGCGGTATTGACTAGCGCACTGGACTTAATCCCCGTAAAAATTTAGACGGATTCCTGAGACCGAGCTGCACCGGTCCCATGTCCGAAAAATAGGTTGGTGAAACACTCAACGATGTGTAAATCTAGTTACTTAAGAGGTGATGGAGTGGCCTTAAGATAGGGGAGGTCCGGCCAATCATCGAGACCTGAATAACTAACTTGGGGACCGTTTGATGGCATAAGGCCGAGTAAAACGTTCGAGGCTGATTGACAAGGCTGTATCGGGCGAAAAGCCTTTCCAACCTTAAGGACTTAAAAAGGTCACCGGATTTGTATTAGAGAAGTGTGCTGTTTTAGTTGGAGCCAGATACGCGGTCGATTGACCAGAGACAGATCATACGCCTAGACTAGGCGTTCTAATCATATTGCAGGCGATTGGCGACCCAACATAGGATAGAAGGCAGCCGACACAGAAGTCATGCGCATAAGATGAACGAATGGAACTACGTCGACTAGCTAGGGCCGGGGAAACCCTGAACTTTCGCAGTCTGTAAAATCTTAAGACCATCGTTGGTTAGAAGTGAAGATGGACACCACCAGACGCGAAAGCAGCGGTGACTTTGGATTAGACAGGGAGTTGCGCAGCACTGAACTCACTACCTCTTCACGTCCTCCCTGTGACTTTCTCGATTAACTGCAGTCACGCATATCCCCCAGTAAACTATCTTAACGTCTGGAGTTCCATGGCGTAGCAGTTGCAATTAATGCCAACAGAAAAAGCGGCTTGCAGGATGCAGAAGAAATGGCTCCCATATCAGAAAACGTTACGAAGGAGGTGCAGCGCACAACATGGAGGTAGTGAAGAGAGAACAACAGGTTGCCAACTAAAACGGCGACATACATGAACTCTATCAAGCTGTGAGAATTCGTTGGGGGCAGTCAGGCGTTCATCCTTTCCCTGATGTTCAAGATACTCGGGGGCAACCGGTGCGGACACTTGGGAGACCAGTTCTCTCTGTGAAGTCTGCTTGCGGTCAAACGGTGGCATTTTGGAGCGAGGAACCGGAGGCAGGGGGGTGGCGCCTCCTTGGGGCGTGGTTGGCGTGGAGGAGGAAGAGACTCCGGTGACATAAATATTTTGCATCATACACACCGAATCCCGCTGTGACGACTGAGAGGTAGGACACTGCATTGGGGAGATGTGTGGCGACCGAGGTTCCTCCAGTTGGCCGGACAGAACCGAGCTCGAGGGAGTAGTACCGGCAAGGTCTTCATTAGTTATTGCGGCGATATTGAGCAGATCATCCATAAGCATAAGATCGGTGACCTCATCCAGGTCTGATAAATGGGAATAAAAAAAATCTGTGTCGAAAGAAAGCCATTGCTGCGTGATATCTTACCAGGAGGCTTAAATTCACTGAGTACGCAGTAATAAAACCGTACCGAAAGCGTTTTATCATAAGAACGGTGACCGATTAGAAGAGACATTACGCAGACGTGCAAATGACAGAAGGTACCACCCTGGCGACGACTGGGGCTAATTTAATGAACCAAATTTCTTCGACAAAATTTCGTTAACAGAGTCAAATCAGGGATGAGGAAACCTAGGACGGCTCATCTCAAGATGGTGCATATAGTCACTACCGGAAGAATTATAAAAAAGTTCTAACTGGGATCCGCGTTTGCGTGCAAGCGAAAAACAGCTTTGCAGGTACTTAGAGGGTGTCAAAAGGGTCAATTTCGGGCACAGATTTCCGTGTACACACCTCTTAACCGCTTAACAGTTTGCAGTGAAATTACAAGAGATGACATAGATCGGCAAACGTACTTTCTGGAAGTTGGCCGGCGGTTTCTAGTACTGTGGGCAAGCATGACTGAGTCTTGGGAGAGGATAGAGGCGGCGGAAGTGAATCAATGGGGACACTACGGGCTTGTGTTTCTTCTACAAACGACGGCTCCGGTGTTATTCTGGCCGAGCCGTGAGCACTGCTACCAGCCACCGGCATACGGTGGGCTGGAGGCTGATCGACAGAAATCGGCAGACGCCTGTTGTGCTCCATGGACACATCAATTACACATGGTGCTGATGTCAGCAAATTCTTCTGGCTGCTGCTGGGCGTAGATGCATCCGCAAAGAGATTTTCATCATGGCGACCGAGGGAACTCGCCTCCGAGGGTTTGTAGATACCAAAACTAACACTAGGATCTTCTAGTGTACGTAGTTCCTCTTCGTCTTCCTCCTCAAAGTCATCGTCTTCGAAGCCGTCATCATCACCCTCCATGTCAAAGTCCTCGGGAAGGGGTGAATCCAGGTTCAGGTCAGTCGCACCACCCGCCCAAGAGGCCTGTCGTGGAGGTGGGTTACTTGGTGAGGTAAAACCGCTGCGGGGGCTGGGCATCTTGGAGGACTGCACAGAGCGCGGGTCGAAGTTGCCGGACCAGGCGGAATCAATAACCTTGGGGACGAAGGGAGCGGAAAAAAAGTATATACATACGTTTGGTCAGATTGAGAAGGATTGTGGGTGGTAAAAAATAATGCAGATAGTAACAAATTCGAATGCACACGCTTACCGGCTTCCCGTACTCTGTAGCCGAGGAGCCCTCTGAAGGCGTTGCTGAAGAGTTGAATGAGAGCTGTAGGGCAGAACCAAGAGGTTTGTTGCGCAGTGAAGCCTGCTGCAGCAGTCTGCGTCGACGCTTTTTGGCGCGGTCACTAGCGGCTAGGAGACTGCCACCATAAAAAGCCTGCATCAGGTAGTCAGGGTAGCTTTCTTCGAGGTTGGACTTGTGCTTCGTCGGCCGCCGCTTCTTTCCAATACCCGGATCTGCTGACTGGGTGATTCTACTAAGAGGACCGCCACTCATAACACCTGCAGCGGCAGCTGCAAGCTGAGTCTTCTTTGGCTAAAACGTAGATAAAAAAGTGCATAGATCGGGATTTTCGGAAAAAAACAACTTCTACTTTTTCGGACAGACAGATGGGGTGGCAAACGACGGAAGTAGGTTTTTCTAACACTTGAGAGGAATGTTATTCACACATAAATTTGTATCATTTCGCCAACCATGAATACACGGTTCACAACTGTATGTTTGGTTGACTGGGAGTTCACAGGAGAGGTGATAAAACTATACTTTCATTTCCAAGATAGGAAAGATATAGAATCGGTAAACAAAAGTAGCCTTAGGCACCCAAGTCAGAAACATCTATCAACCCGATGATACTGTAATTGCAGGTCACCGAAAGATCTCTTAAAGCAACCGCATGCATCAAGCTCAAACGAGTAGGCGCGCCTATCGCCTTTCAAAACACCGCAAGGCCTAAAGACAGCACTCCTGCATGCCGGCCACGAACTACTATGAAATAAACTTGCCTGCTATCAGTCCATTGCGGTTAGGCTATTCAGCTAAAGCGTTAGAAGATGCAACCTCTGGGAGGCAACCTCGGTGGCTATTGGAGACCCACCGGCACTTAAACTCCACAAAAAACCCTCACGGAAAGTGTCCGAACATATCACTACTAACATCCATGGTACGGCGTCTGCGTGGACCGACGTGCTTCTAAACCCTCGTGTAGTGATGAAGGGGAATAGCATGTAAGCTGGGGGTACTAAATCGTTAACGAACACTCGGTATGGGAATATGTCTACCAGCAAACACCAGTTACCGACGACAACCATAAAGAAACCTGCCCCCAGTCGCAAGAAACAGTTGAATGACTCCCTCGACGACATCTGGCGATTACAGTCGGAGACTGTAATGGTTGGGGTGGGTAAAGTGAGTCTTTAAACAACCACCTTACCTGCCTCTTTGGGCTTGGCCCTCGAAGCAATAACGATGAAAGGTTACTTAACATCGCTGAGCAGAACCTGTTGTTCATCAGCTACACCTTACAGCGCCGCCACAGACATATTTTAAATCGGCATATAAACGGTGGTCGTACGACCAACCAGATTAACTAAATTCTGGTCAGCTAAAAGTTTTGAAGTTGTGTTTATGACGGCAGACCAGTTGCGTGCTGCCGTAGGTGGGAAGGTCTATGGCTCAGATAATATTCTTGTTTGTGCGTGCCTAAAAAGTTCATCTAACATCCGCGTTTGAAATGTCTCGTGCAAGACGCTCATTGTTGCCAGAGTATGGCAATAAAACACAGCTTAGGCTCAGAGTATAGAAATCCGGTAATTCTCTGCAGAGCATGCCGAGCGGGAAGGCGGCAGTAGTAAATGGCTGTAATTGAACACATCGATTAGCGAGGCAATCGAACTCTCCGATCCGTTTAGCGAAGATGCGATTGATGAAGCAACTCAGGCAGCTTACAGTTTTTCAATTCCAGTTATGCCCTACGGTGATGGTACCCTCTGAGTACTCCGGAAGAAGTCACAGTCGGCTAGAGACAACCGCGAAAGTTATTGGGTTGAAGTGCCAACTTGCAGGCGGCGGCCTTAAACGACGACGACACGCGAGAACTCCTTTATTTATTCTCCAGGTTGGTGGTGGATCATCTGCACTGAAAAAAATGTTTCCGGTGTAAAAAGCGTCTTTATTGTTGAAATTTCGAAGACGGTCGAGCTCCGGTGTGGGCACTTCGAGTACTATATCGACTCATCACCTCTTTCCCTCATCTGCAGCCGAATTTTATCCTTTCCCAGTCTATACAGTTTCATATGAGCCTCCGTACCGAGGAGGAATAATCAACGCAATACTGGGACTGCGCAACAATAATAACAAAGCTAAGCAAGAAGACGGCATTTCCGAGAAAGTATACAAGATTTGCATTCATACTCTGACAGTCTGGTCCCACGAGGTGACTGATAGTGTGGGGCGATGAGGTCGTTCCTGGTAACCGGGGCTTGACCATCCCTTTGCCCGACGTTAGGAAGCAAAGACGAAATGCGAAATATACCGTGGTATAAGTCTCATCAACATTGCTATCAGAGCTATTCTCAGGAGGTTTCAGAGTACGTGGTTTGAGGACCGGACCGAACCAGACCGGACCTCGAACTGGACGTGGACGCACAGACCACACGTTCACACAGCGCTGCATTCTGCCGTTCTAGTCCGCAATGGCTCTCTGCGTCGCTGCGTTCATCACTACTTCACTACTGCACGAGTTCCGGTCCACAGTAATCTCTCCCAACCATTTGATATTCGTTCTGGTATTTGGATGAATTGGCTCTCCAAATCAGTAGACTTCTCCATTAAGGTTCTTTTCAAACTGTGTTTGTGGCCAGAAGAAGACCTCTTTCATTATGAGAGGCTGTCAGTTTTAAGAAAGAGTTCAAAAGTCCTGGGAATGAAATTGGCAGTATAAGGACTGCATTGTCGCCCCAATCGATGCGATCTCTCTCTCTCCAGATGTCCGTGTGTATCGGACGTCCGTTCCGTCAATCCTTCTGTATACTTGTGAACACAGAGTCATCTGCGTAGAACATGAGCGGAAACCGGTGACTAACTGCCGTTGACTGAGAACCATCCACCTAGTGAAGTACATCAACCGTCTATAGGGAAACACCACGAGAATATCACGGGCCATTCAAAAAAGGCGGCTGAGATGACTCGATCACGTTTTTCGTCGCCAGATCCACGAGTTCACTGTTGCTACCTTTGATTCGACATCGCTATCCACCTGGAGGCATCGAAGATGAGGTAGAGTAAAAACCTGGCTGAGCATAGTTTGTCAGGATATGGTCTTCGAATCTTCGATATTTTGCAACCGCTGCTGGAGAAGACAGGGAACCGAGCTCCCTTGATGCGCTGCTGCAGATCGTCAAGAGTGGAGATACAATCTGTGATAGCATTTAGGCAGGCTAGCTCAGGCTTGCTCATGGCCGTACCAGGGAAGCAAGTAGTCAGACAGATAAAGACCTCGATGCCTCGAGACAAGGGAACCTACGTGGTACATGCGAGTGGAACGTGCTCTGAATCCGCCAACACCAAGGTTTAGTTGGCGACGAGCGCTGGCGTTGGCCGACTTGCCCTTCGCGTTAGGATCTCGCGCCTTGGATGCAGACACCTAATAGGCAGGATATCATGGAAGAGAAAAACTCTTGAGCAGGTAAAAGATGTGGAGGGAAATACCCAACATAAAAAGTGCTCTTAATGATAAGGGACCTATCTGTTAAATGTGAATCGTTGAGAATCCAGGAGATACAATGACAGGGATTTTGGGCGCTAAGACGCCTGACGACTTTAACGTGGTTTTATGTGAACTCAAATCAAACCCAGCAACAAGCACTGTGTGTGGCTAGAACCCGTATGACAGAGCGTAACTGCATGGGTACAGGAAAGCTCCATGAAAAAAGCTCGGGCGCGGGACGTGTAACTGGAGGAGAAATTGGGGTTCGGGAAGATCGATGCACAGCTTTCTCCCAAAAGTCTTATACACGATGCGGTGAAAGATGTACTTTACTGTGGCGTGTGTGCAAAAGAGATCTTACCACTGAGGCCGGGGTTGTGTTTACACGATCCATCGTTGAATTCGGTTCACCGCCGGGCAGCTGGTGACTAGCGTCTTCCTCTGAGATAACACTGGGAGATTTCGTTTCAGCGTAGGTGGTAGAAATGGTTTCGACTTCAGCATCTGCTGCAGACTGCTGCGATGCCTCGTCGTCAATCTGATGGCAGAAGAAACAGGTGAAAACAGACTGATATTCATTCGATACTCCGGCATGTCCACTAGGTGGACAGACAAGAGTCGTCGAAGACCACCGCAAGTTAGATGCGTAGGTGATTTGGAAAAGACAAGAGGCGGTATCCCAGAGTGCTAATGGGCAAACATAACGCCTAGTACGAGTTATTAAGAGGTTTGTGGGGAAGAACTGCGGGAAAACAAAGTTGAACGCGGATGATGTTAGATAAGCAAGAAGAGTTAAGTCAGCATCAAGTAAATCAAGCACGATATCACTGAATACGGCTGAATTCGGTCAACATTTTAGCAATTGAGTAATTCTCGATGTGGAAGAAAACTACCGTTGAAACCCAGTAAAGGACACCGCTGGAAGTCATTCACGAAACTGCTCTGACAGTTGGCGATTTCGTACATGGACAGCGCCAGAACTGGTTTGGCTACAAAGTTGAAGAACTCAAACACCTGCTTTCCAAGAAAAACAGACTACACAATACCTATCCAAACAACAAAACCGAAGGCAGTAAAGCCGCGTTATTCGGATGTCGCGGCCACTGCAACAGACTCAAAAGGGTTGGCTAACTCACAGGGTTGGTGACACCGAGAAATACGCTGGACGATGTGAGAAGAAAAAGTCCTTCGCGGTGGTCAAGACAGTCTACGGTCCCCAAGTCAGGGGGACTGCGCCACTGCACAGTCAATATGGAGCAAAACTATTGTTGGTTAGGCGACAAATCATAAAGCGCTGAGTGGAGCTCTTCAAAAATGTCCCGGATCCTAATCAGCTATCTATAAGCTGAGAAGGCGCCATCAACCGACTTCATCCAGAGGACATCAATGAATAAACCGGCCGTCCGCCTCCCATCTTAGAGACAAGAGAAATGCAATATATGCCCAGCGAAAAAGCACCCGGCGTAGATGTAATCTCAGCCAAAATTTACAAACAGGACTGCCGCAAACTTACAGACATGTTCGCTTCACTGATCCATGGTATGCGTATTGAAAGTTATACCTTCCCAGAATTCAAGCATGTCATTGCCTGCATATACAAATATAAGGTGAACAAGTAGCTTGTTGATAACCATGGGAGCACCTTGCCACCCAGTTCTCCACTGGCATTAGGATAGTTTGATGAATTATATCAGTCTGGGGTTCGGGAGTAATGAACCATGGAAAAAAATTTCACCCTTGTCTTTGTCGGTAAGAACATTCTGCCAAAATTTCACCCCTCTGACGAATAATGGTTAAACTTTGCGTCTGCAGGGTAAGTATTCCTAGAAAGTCTTTAAAGCAATCCAGATGCTCGGTGGATTCCAGAGTCGATGGTGAAACGAGAAGCTAAACGTACGCATTCACTCCCTTATTCTCAAGTACAGAAGGCGAAATAACACTTTCCGTGCGGCGAATTTCATCAACTATTTTGAGGTATGAAGTGAGCTTGATTCCCTCTGACAAGGCGAGCTTTCAAGCGTAATTCAGTTCCCTTAGGAGCGATCATAAAAAGGGACAGTGAAAGTAGCATACAAAAAATGTCTCACCGAAGTAAACACAGAGGCGGGAGCGCAATCATTCACAGAGTTGGCATCTGGAAGGGAATAAGAAAGCGCTATTTAAACAGACATGCATGAAAGCAGAAGGCCACAGCAGATAAACGAGTCGGTTTGTAGCATTGAACGGGCTGCAGATAAAGACAAAAAGAGAACTAAACGTCACAAAATATACCTGGAATTGCCGATGGTGCACATGGATGCGAGGCTCGCCGGCCCCCGGTTAGATGGCGCTTGGGATGCCCCTTCAGCATGACCTGGCGAATGGTATTGAGACCAGTCTCGCTGAGGACTACGCCGTCCATAAAAAATTGGCTAAGAAAAGAAAAAGAGGTCGAGGCCATACAACCGCATAGGAAATAAGCTTCTGACGAGCTGACCTGGAGCCTGATGCTGGGAAACTAAATCAAAAAAGCGACAGTGCAAAAAGGAGCAGGACACTGTGGAGTCAAAAGCAGATACCTTAGACAAGGAAGTTCAGTTCAGATCAGATCAGTTCGGTGGTAAAGTACTTACTGAGGATCAAGAGGTGATCCTTGTTCCTCATCTGAACGCGCGGCGGACGAACCGGCAGACCCAAAAGCTATGCCGGGGGAACACGAGGACTACAAGAAACAAGGTGGCGCTGATTAGTATAATGACATCTGGGTAACAAAAGGCGAGAATAGCAGAAGATCACCCTCAGTGAGAGTATTCGACGGAAGTTATCGAGAAACCGAAGACAAAGGCTTTCGTAACTACTTACCAATCTATCTGCAAACAGTGAATCGATTCGCTCTCCACACTTCCAAGAAGATGGTATAGGCACATTGTTACCATTTGCCGCACGGAAGTCCAACAGCTGAGATCAGAGTAGAGGGCAAAAAGGTACAAACGCATGAAAAATGAACGTGGCGAAGGAGAGACAAGGCAGAGAGAAACCAGTATGCCTAAACGTACCTGCTGATGACCGGGACCTCGTGGAGCACCCAACTCCCGGCAAAGAGCACAGTTATAACCCAGATCAGTGACAAAGTCCAATTCATCTTCCGTTCGGAGTTGGTCACAGCCGGCATGCGACCAGCGACTACAAATGGCGCACTTTATCAGCAGCTCCGAGTCCCGATATGGCAACGTGCAGACGGGGCAGATAGAAAGGGAAACACACGGGGCACAGCGTGTGTAATTAGCGTGCCAGTCTCCATTCACCCCGGGAGATCTGCTGCCACAGCTGGTACAGGAGACGCAGTTGGAACACTTCCATCCGCCCTGGCATTGAGAAGATTGTCAAATGTTTAAAAAGTGTCAAAAAGCATTCAATTGGTATTTCTATACGATTGGATGACGACTTTTACGGGGAAAAGGTACGCGAGTCAAGTATACGTACGTAACATATCCCCAATAAGATTGACCGCTCATGGCTTAAAAAGAATGACTGTGGAAGAGTGTATGAAAATCCATTTCCAGATGTCATAAATCTGAGCAAAGCTTGAACGGTTGGTGTCAAAGCGCTGTTGTCTGCAGTAAAAGCTGGAAGGTTGGGGTGAGAGAGAACATGACAACTGACGGGCCAGGATACTTCCAGGTTCAACCTGCGCATCTTGAGAGGACGTTCGCTGTCAAGTTTCCACTGCCTGTGGGACATTCGAGACCACAACAATTTAGTTCGACCCAAAGGTGGGGGGGGGGGGTAACGGATCGGCTGCAGATAACTTGGGTAAACGATTGCGCAAAACCTGGTGTTACAGTGGCCAAATAGATAGAGTGCGGGCCCAAAAGGCGAGCACATATGGTAAAGTTCCAGGGGTCACTGCTACTTGAGAGAGGGTTAGGATTTCGGTTAAGTCAACAGCGATCGTCCACAAGAAAACAGTACCTCGGGCCACTGGAAACCAAGACTTTCAGATCGCCAGATAAAGGAATTTCAGGGACGGTACTGACCGCCTGCTTGTAAATTGGCGCCATCGACGAAAATGGTGCCTGGCCAGCAGCAACGCCCCAATGATGGAGCCAGCCCTACTTGAAAGAAGCATGAGGCGCGTGAAAAGCACAGATAACCTGTCTAACTTTGCCGAGCACTGTGACCGCGCACAGCCCAGTCTACTTGAGTTTGTCTTACTATTGACGCATATTGGGTGCGGGAGACGAGAGTGGGGTAGATGCGGCGAAAGTCCGCGTCATTATACAAAAAGTTACGCTAAAGTAACGGCTGTTACATACACCTAGAGGAGAAGCAGTAGAATCCATTGTTAGCAACGGTCGAACTATCATAGTTGCGGCATTAGTGCCCGATGTAAATAAATGTCAGATGGGTTAACTTACAACATAATGATAGCCTGGACGGGACGAAGCTTCGGAGTACACAAAAACTCGACGTCATTTAAAGTACCATTGGTTATCGTCAGACTGGAGACTGGCTTAGTGAGGTATTAAGGCAGTGACTTGTAACATTTACCGTGTGATGGAAGAATTCTAGTTTTATCATAAGTTGGAATGTTACCAAAGTGAACCTGAATAGATTTTGTAGGAAATTCCGTGAAATTTCACAGAAAACTAAAATAATTGTGAATTCTTTCACGATTTGAGGAAAATTTAGTGCTTTCGGTGTGTCCATTTGACTGGCAAAATGGCAAACGAAATCAGAAAAATTATGTGCGTTTATAAAATTATCAAGAACTAACGGACAGCAGACTGCTAGTGCAGTGCATTTAGCCTGAGTAGCTGAAGAGTAATTCCACACAGCCCAATGTGTTAAAAATAACCCTTGGTAGCCAAAGCGCAGAAGGGTAAAAACGCACTTCATGGGTAGACCCCAACACAGCAAACAAGATGAATAACAGATACACACACTCCTTCTTTGGTTAATGAGCACAAATGTTCGGACTTGACATGAAATTGAATATTGAAATTATTATTGGAGGCAGACAGGGGGCATTTAGCCAAATGCCATCGCACGGAATACTGCCAGTCGTCTGGGACAGCTTGCAGCTTCTTATGAGGAGGCACCAGAAAGGGTTTACTTAAACTCATGATAAACAATAATTCTAGCGTGACCTTCGGTAGAAAGGGAACAGAGCCCTCGAATCGCCTGACCCAGGCGCACGGACGTTCTAATGTCCACACAACCCAAATTCCACAAATGAGATCAGGCCTGAAGTTCATTAAAAGTTCTTTTTAAAACCGTGGCTGGAAAGTCTGGCGTGAGCGAAAATATGTTGTTCTCCTTTCCAATACTTAGAAGACAAACTGGATGGAACTGCTGTGGGACATAGGCAGGCAAAAGTGTACGCTTACGTTGGGATTGCAAGCAAGTGCGACAGCAGAGGAGCACAAAGTGCAGGCCTCGCAGGTAAGTGAGAGTGCGTGCAAAGAGCATGTGAGTGAGTGAATGAATGAGTGTGTGTGTCCCCTCTGACCGCGAAAAGACAGGAACCCAGGGACAGAGACTGACGGTTTAGATGACGACCCTGGCCTCCCGAAGTGGCTACGATTGGGAGGGGCTCCGAAAGAGTCCAGCTGCAAAATGGCTGGTTTCCAGGATTTGGCGAAAAAGCAGTCTCGAAACACCAGTAGCAGGGGTAACAGGGGACAAAAGGAGAGTCCATAGACTGTCCCATAAATCATGTCAAGTTTGACGACAATACGGTGAAAAGACGACTCCGAATTTATTACAAAATAGAAAGACGATTGTTTAGTGCACACAGACTAGTCAATGAAAATGGTAGCTTAAAAACAGAACTTAGGAATAAGAAAGGAGGAAAGCTAACACGCAAAAGGGATGTGAGGGTCGAAGGACTGGGGATTACAAGGACAAGTCGAGGTTGACCAAGTGGTCTAGCTGTTTACACAGGTCGGGTTTCTCCCACCATATGCATGCTGCTTCCAAGTTGCGCAATGCCTGAGTTGTCTGTCCCCGAACAAGTATTCAGAAGGATGTTTTGGGGTCCACGGAATGGCTGTCATCTAGGAGGTTTTTCTTAATATAAGAACGAGGAAATCTATTTCCCAGCGTTAAAAGCCATCTAGGTAGGTGCTCACTGACCTGACTGCCAGTTGCCTTTCCGTTCGCCTGATGTTTTTGCATCCACATGTGCATGTGAATTTATAAACACAATTTGAAGTGACGTGGAATGGCAAGGCATCCCTCCCCGTGGAATTGGAACAGCTTTAGAAGGGCTGCTGGATATGAGTTCGGCTGCATTGTACGTCCCTTCTGATAGTGCATCCCAGCCGTCGCTTGGTCGTATTTGAAATGTACTCCGTCTTAAAGGGCATTAATATTACAACGGTCTTTTTTTCGGGAATGACCGTTCCGTCATTCTTTTTCGTAGGGATCTCCTGTACTTTTGACTGAAACGTGTTGAATATCCACGTATAAGCAAAGTTGCTTTAAGACAGGCAATGTCTGTGTCTAGCGTCTTGATAGGGAAAATGTTTCTCTCTATTTGGAGAAGAGTGTACACCAGGTTTCGTTTCCGTTGTATTGGTATAAAACTCAGGAAATGCAAGTATTTATCCTCTCATGTATTCGTATAGAAAACCGGTCACCCTAGTGAATCGTCTTTCTGTCTAAATACGTGGGCGTCCTGGGAGGATAGCTTGATGCCCTGCTCTTTTTCAATTGCGAACTTAATCTTCGGATGCAGACTAGTCATAGCAACATACAGTCCTTCGGCTTCCTCGTTGTTATCAACCATCACGAAGATATCATCCACATCTTTTTGTATAGTGATTTCATGTTCGATTCCATGACGCCCTTTCATCCAGATGACCCATAAAAATGTCGGCTGAGGTTGGACCTAGCGGACTTCCTATTGCTACTCCGTCAATTTGTCTGCATAAACGTTCCCTAAACAGAACATTTTTTTCGTGCACAGTTTCAGCAAGTCATGTAGTATTTTGGATGACTGACGGGTTCTAGATGCATGGGCGCAAATGGCATCTATTGTCTCACCAAGTGGTGCATTTGTAGTGATTCTACGCCCAAGGAGGCCATGCATTAGCTGGAAATGCTTTGATGCCTAATTTTTTTCAATAAACGAAAGCAGTCTTTTATCGTGCAAGACGGAAACCGAAGTTAAATTGGTTCTAGTTCCTTGATAAGTCATTGTGATAGTCTGTGTTGGAATGAAGCACACGTAAGCAGAATTGGCCATAGAGGTATGTCCTTTTACACGTTTCTGGTAATCCACTGAGACTCGGAATGTGTGTATCCCTCTGTTTTAGGGATAACGCGGTTTTAGCACCAATCAGATTGTTGTCCAGAAGAGTTGCAGTTGATAAGCTGCTACGAAATTTCTTGATACCAATAAATCCTACTGTATATGCCTCTTGTAAATTCGACCGGAGGAAAAAAAGGCCTCAAACTTTGAATTGTCAGTTGACGAGTTCGTCCAGTTCGAAGATGACCTGGCGGCAGCGTACTGCTGCAACAACAACAACAACGACAAGGCGCCTAATGTGGATTGACAATACCACAAAAAAAGGCAGGAAGGTAAATAGCAGCGCAGAGATCGCCTCCTGCTGTTTGAGGATACTAACAGGCATACTACAAAACCTGCTAATTATAATTAGGAAGAAAGGAGACTGTAGTTACAGGCGCGAACAAGACTGCCACCGCAAAGATTCTCAATAAAAGGCCCAAGATACTGTGTCGGGAGTACAATATCACCAGCCTTCTTTAGGGTGGTGACATGACCTTAGAGCCGATTCAAATGATTCAAGTCTCTTACCGGAGAATAAGGACTAAAATCGGAAACATACGCCTGTTCTTTAAATCTGGCCCTCAGAGTACATCTTCGGATATGGAGCACACAGTAGAACTTAGCTCCGTCAACCTAAAGGCTAAATTGTCCAAGGTTTGATCTTACTCCAGCCAGGTTCTAGATGCGACGGCGTGGAGGTGGTCAAACAGAAGGCATAGGCGGGCGTGGAGAAATCTCACCTCAGGGAAAATTCTGGCCCCATTGTCTACGGCATGCGTTTCGTTCAGATGGGTTAAATAGCGATTGGGGGGTCAGATTTGAATCGGCATGGTAAGTACCGTCACACGCACACACAAGTAAACGAGCGGGAGGGAGGCGTGGGTGGTGCAAAGGAGAAACCAACACTGAAGGAGAGGACGCATAGCAGCGGCAGCAGCAGCAACTGCGGTGGCTAGAAACAGACACATGGAACAGCCGGTGGCAGCATACAGAGACAGACTACCTCCAATCGTCGACCACGTCTAGTTTTTGACGAGGTCACTGCAGGCAGCAGCGCCTTCGACTGCATTTTGGAGGTAATCGCGGAAGAAACGCATGAGGTGGAGGAGCGAGCACTGCCCGCGCATGCAGCGCCTACCTTGGGCACTTCTTTGAGCGGTGGTTTCAGGCAGAAGGTGTGGTAGCTGATGTCACACTCGTCACACAGCAGCAGCAAGTTTTCGTCTGTGGTTTGACCGCAGCCCTCACAGATGGTGCAGTCCAGGCAGCGCCAACCCTTTTCCAGCATGGTGCGGCTGATGCGCGAGACGTCTGCACAGTAGGAGTGGAAGCACTGGCCGCACTGGGCGCAGGCGATCAGCGTGTCGGGGTCGCCGATGGAACCGCAGGCCAGGCAGATGTCCTGTTCAAGCATGAAGAGGTCGTCGGTGCGGCAGATAACAACCGTGCTCGGGTGGTCGTCCTTCTCCTGATAGGTCTTTGACTCGCACTATGCTCAGAAAAAGAGGCATAAAGGCAAGGCAGTTAGTACAGGCGGGTGGCATGTTGTAACTTGCGCAATGTTCCGACGGCCACACACCGGGCAAAACAAGTCAACCTGCAGCAGAAGAGACTTCTGATAAAAGGAGACGTTTTCCAGACTGAATTAGCAGGCGGGGAGGGGAAAGGCATCTATGGTTATCATCGTAAAAAGCTTATTCGAAAAGTCGAGTAAGCACAGGGAGTAGACGCAGTGGCTAAAGAAAATCGCCAAGATCTTTAACTATACTTCCAGGAAGAAGGAAGTGCGTAATTGAAACTACAGGTTATATAAGCAAGAGCTAATTTTTACCTGCTGTATCTCCAGTGCGAAATTTACTGGCCATTTGTGTCGATCAAACATAGGGAGTCACTGCGCGAACTCTGTGATTCGTTTTTTTTATTTATGTGCAATGTTTCTATAAAGCTAGTCAGCTTTATGACGGCGAACGGCGCTCGGTACAAGGGCTTAATGGTAGAACCCCGGACCTTGTAGTTAATTACCGAGGAGTGCGGACTCGAATCCCAGGTCCACTGGGCACGACTATAAGTCTCCTGTATTATAGACGGCCTTACACTAAATTCCAGGAGGTTAGAATTGGGATTAATGTCAAGGCCAGAGTTGAGGTTAGGAGGGTTGGTGTTAGGGTTCGGAGAATGAGCGACAGGATTAAAGCCAGGACACGGGAACAGGTGCCCGTCCTGGAATTTAGTGCAAGGCTACCTGTATCACGAGGGCTATATATACCCGTGCCTAACCCCTAAGTCGTCCAAACCTGGGGTTGGGAATGGTTTGTTAACGACGGACAAGCCAGAAATGGCCACCTCAGTCTTGTAGGTACAGCTCGCCCTTTCACCACTTAGAAGAGATATGCAGTAGATGTGCTACCTCATGCAATGCTAACCGAAACGGTTGTAATATTGACTATCCTGCAGCATAATCTTAAGATATTTCAGTCAACCCAGGATGCTCGCGGCAAGGATTACGTACATACGCGGGGTAAGAAAGCGCTAACTGTTGTTTAAAAAATTCACCAGCATTTTAACACTCCTGCTTTGCTGGCAGACGTATGCATTCCATTTAACAATACTTCGAGTATTTTTCTTACTACCTGATTACTCTCCGTGCTGAACTTTCCTTCTAAATATGAGCCTTCCTCTTACTAAAGAATAACGTGTGAGGGTGCGGAACGATGGGAATATTTCAGCAGCGCCGACTCCTCGGGGCGGTATAGGTCAGCAAATGGCATCCTGCCAACGAAGGGTCGACCAAAAACTCTACTGAACAACACCTACTTTTAAAAATACTGCAGGCAGTTCTCCATTGTTTTTCCTTACGCACGCACATACTTAGCCCTTACCTTTCAAACCAGAATATACCCTTTCTTCGAACTGAGTGTGAAGAAGACGTAACTTGTTACAAAGAGCGTGCAAGAAAGAATACGTTCTTGCAAATCGTCCATAAAATATAATTGAATTTATAGACACCTCGAAAATCACAATGTCTTTGTTTATGTATGTTTCGCAAACGGCCGAGAAGTCGCTCATTTAAACACCGACATCTTGGGATGACTGAAATATCTTTGGGCAATGCCGCAAGGTAATCAACATTACAACCCGACCCAACTAATCTTTTCAAATTGAAATCACATTTCAGAGTGTTGGTTAACATTTTCTGTGATGGTTCTTCTATGGAGATGTCCCAACGGGTTCTCGCTGACAGGGAGTACAGGTCCGTCGATACAAGGGCACTCTGAAGATTTCCCTGAAGCGTCTGAAGACCGAACCGGCCAAGGGGGAAGACCTCGCCCGAGACCGACCGACCTGGCGAAGGACGGTGAAAACAGGCGCAGCGATCTACGAAGCCAACCGCATCACCGCCGCCAATGCCAAACACGAGTCTCGCAAATCTCAACTGCGCCCAGCCCGCTTGGAAGGCTGCCAGCTGACGGGACAACTTGGACCTCGCGGTCGGCCCAGTGTTGTGTGTTTGTGTGGAGTGGCCGACTGGTGGCCTAAGAGTCAGGCTGCAATGGTACCTTCTTAATGTGACCTTTATGATACTCCCACTCCGTGGGATCTGAGCAAGGCGGAGCACCAAGGTGCGGGCTCGACTGTACCATCCACTTGCGTTCTTGCCTACCTCCGGTTTTCTTGACTCTGTCTTGACACCGGGTCCAGATGGGGGGGGGGGGAAGGAAGAGAGAGATGCGGTAGACGCTGTGCAAGTCTACATTCACTATAAACTAAATCACGCACACGTCACCGTCCCTGCTCTACCATGTCGTGGGGCACACGGCAGACATCGTCGGATGCGACGACCAAACTGTCGTAAGATCCAATCCCTAGGCACAGCGGGACGGGCAGGTCCCGTAACGTGATTGCTGAGCGTCTTCGACCACGGTTATATATACATATGAGGAACACGTTGCATGCTTTACAAGCAAAATCAGCAGGCCTGCACACATTAGTTTGCATTTATACGTACGCAAACGCTTCATAAATCAAGGAGGACATAACAGTGCACAATATGAACATGAAAAGGAAAGATTTTGCACACCAATGCTGAGAAATGCAATTAAAATAGCATAGGGGTCGAATGGCAATGGAACTACGTACGGGGAGATCAATATCCTTTCCGTTTACTTTGGAACAGGAGGCTGAGAATTTTCAAAAACGAAATCCAGCATGTTGTAGAGTACGAACTGACATGAGATTATGGTTAACGTAAGCAAGTACTGTGGCTCAACCCTAGTGATATCATCCATTAATACGCATGTTTAGATATTCCACTGACTGAATCGTGAATCTTAGAGCATAACGTGTGGTCGCTAATAGGCAAGGTAAAAAAGAACAAGTGGGAATCAGCAATGGCGGGTCAGCCAGACATAACGCAAACCCAAACCAGAAAGATCGGGGAGTTGGACCCGGTTCGGTTGGTCTTTGAGCAGCTGAGGCAAACGACCTACCGTTTGGGCGACGAGCCCACTTTTTCCGTACTACATCGGAAATATTTAAAGTCACATCTCATATCGGAGTAAAATCTGAGGTATACCAGGCCCGGGGATGGGTTATCATCGGCCAATCACGGTACATATGCGAGAAATGCCCATTTTTGTCCCATAGCCTTCTCCTAGTTGAGATAATATAAAGCATAAACGAAATCAAACAATATGTACGCAGAGCAGTAACTAGGAAGAACTGAACTGCAAACGTGGCGATGCAGGCAACAACTCGACTTGAGTAAAAACCGCGTGTAAAGTGCTGAAGAGAGCATGATTAGAAGACTGTAAATAAACAGGCGAAACTCTGCAGAACGTAAAACCTGCGGGTCAGGGACAACAAAGACAAACAAATACCAAAACCTGAGACGTTTACTTTTACAGCCCAGCAGTGTTTTGCGTCAATGTACCGTACTGGACGAACCTAGGTGAGATAATGTAGGCGAAAGTGAACTAGATCAAAATCGAAGGTAGAACAGGGGAAGCCAACAGAGGAAAACCAGGCTGCCATCAACGAACATCAGGACACCCAACTAAGACATTAACCAAGTACTTTAGTGAGGGGTTCCAGGTCGGTGCATGTGAAAACACCGGCTTTCTGACCACGACCAACTCGACGTCGGGTTTGGGCTGTCCGAACGTGACGTGCGGTGGCCTGTCGATGGGAAGTGTAGAAGCCACTTTTAACGCTGTAAGACCTTCCTGAAGTTGCCAGCCCCCTTGACTGCTGTGGGCCAGACCTATTCGACTCTCTCAGAGGCACACAGAGCATGGAGTTATTTGGAAGAACTAGTTTGTGGAGCGTTATTGAGGGCACTCGGGGTGCGGTTTGGATGGGTGAGTGGAGGCGCAACCTGGGTGTGCCAGGTTTCTCTCGGGGTGTTGACATAGTGCTGATCAGCTGAAATTGGGAAATGGTGAAGTGAAAGCTCAAGTATTCGCCGCATAACACCCAGAGCTAAGCAAGAGTCATGTTTTAGGGAGAAACTTACCGCCCCGGCCTTTCGATTTTTGTTTCTCCTGGCACGCGTTCCTCCCGAGGTCGCAGTTGAGTTGATGTTGCGCTTTGCACTTAGGGTCTTCGTGGCGGTTGGTAGTGAGAGGCCTGACGAGAAGGACAAAGTGCTGGACACCTGGGAAGAAGGAGAGAGAAGAAGAACAGGTCGGCTCTTCCTAAGGCTAATTTATAGAATAAGGGGCAGTATGCCTATCAACGGGATGGAGGACAGACCTTTGAAAGAGACTTAGATCCCTGATTGCTTTCCACGTGGTTGCGTTTGCGGTTCTGCCACAACTGTGAATCGCCGACACTACTGACAGACTTTGACTTGTGCAAATGCGACCTCGACGCCGGCAATGACTTGTGCGAACGAGTGGTCTCTTTGGAATTCGGACGAGGTGATAAAGCTGTAGCCTTCGAAGACGCCGGTCCTGAAAGGGGTTCAAATGACGACACCCCTGCCGCAGTCACCGAGAGGGACTGCTTACCAGGCTCCGTGGTCGGGGTAGTTGAGGTGGAGTCGTTGACTGAGTTTGCTATGGTGACATTGTCATCAAAGATAGTGTTTGCAGTATTGAGTGTGTCGGAAACCTCTTGAATACTGGAACTGGTGTGTCCCCAGGGACTACCTTCGCTCTGACCGAAGGAGACACCGACGGAGTGTGGCACTCCTCCAAGACTAACACTACCGTCGTCACCGACATCGCCGCAACAACTGCTACTTCCACCCATGTTCGGGCTGGTCCGCAGGGAGGCTGTGGCGGATGCACCCTAGAAATAGTTTACGCGGATTTTAGCATAAAAACATGTCAATCCGGTTTCGTTTAGAGAAAGTCTAACTTGACAGTGTGTTTGAACGTTTGCATGAATAGATATAAAAGCGTACAAACAGGATTCTACCTTACGCTGGTTTCTATGTCTGTCAAACCAAGCATGCTTAAAATAAAAAAATGACAGACTACAAGGTTGGAAACCCAGTGAGCAACCACGGCTTAATGTTACAAATTCACTGCATTATGAATGATTGCCCTTCATTTCGGCAGGTCAGCAGCAGCCTCCCAAGTGAAGTGCAGCCAGCTGGCATGCCATTCTCTCAGAGCCAGAGATGAAGTCGTGGTTCGGTCTCACCACATTCATCAATATCTCCAGTTTATCGTCCCGACGCAATCGACAGTTAGGGAACACAGTGTCAAACTATTCAAGTCGGCGAGTGGGGATTGCGCAGATGACCAATGAACAACCATCCGTTGGAGAAGCGATTAGGGGACCGAGCTAGGACAGGAGAACAAAAGCCGCATCAATCGAATGCACTCAGGCAAACGATGCTTTCTGGGTGCGAGGGTCGTGTCGCAAGTCCCTACAGTTGGACCGTCTTGAGGGCATCGTGTACTCGTAACTTAGCCTTATGATATCAAGTCGGTTGAAGAGGCTGAAACAAAACCAGACGAAGGTCGAGCGCAACCGATCGGAACGATGGTCGCTTTCACCCTTACGTTGTCCAATAGGTGGAAAATTAGACCCACGGACGTAGAAGCTGTTTGCTAGTCTAAGAGCTCCATCGTCAACTGAAAGTAGGCAGATAGTTTGGGCAGAAACAAGTGAGACGACCACTCCTTTTATAAAAAAAAGTCTTCGGGTCCGTTCCCGATATCTCAGTGCTGACCTGCGACACTGTACATGGCACTTCTGCAAGGGATCTCGTCAACACCACACCGTCAGTGTGGTCAAGGTTCGTAATTCAGGGACTTTGATTAGCTGCAATAGCGAGTTAGTGTATCGCGAGTGCCAAAAACCTCAGTCTATTGAGAAATTTAATGTAACCCCAACAGATGTCACAGGTAACACTAGCGTGCTCATCTTGCTTGTCATCCACTCGGACTATGGTTATCTTCTTGTGCTAGTAGGCTTAAATCCAGCAAAGTAATTTCCGATGGCATACTACCATGAGACAAGATCGACTACAAAGGATATCAATAGATGCGAAAACCGTGAAACCGACGACAGACGCCAAACAACACATCCGAATCAGGCTGAATACCACACTACTTCCATGCAGTGCGCACAGCGCAGTACCGGCAGACGCGGTCGAGACGGACAAAAGTGAGGGCTTTCATATAATTCCAAGAAGAATCACGTCATGCTAGTCCTTACGTAGTGATCTCTCATCTTGTAGTAAATTCGTAGTGGTAATAGTATCAGCTCATCTTGCCTCAACGGTCTGCTTCCTAAATCGGGGCCAGGAGGCCATGTAACTGAGGAGCCAACACTACTGAGCGGCAATTGGATATTTTGCTGGAAAGCAGATATCACCAGACGCCTCGCTATACTACAGTTTCACTACCGCTTCAAAGATATCCCCAAAGTGGCGGTCAAAGGGAGCAAAGTTCGGCGTCGGATCTTCAATTTTGACAGCCTCCGAGAGGGTTGAATCTTTTAGGTTCCGAAGTCGGGAAAAATATCCCTTCCACAAGTGCCGGAGTTTACACCAATTACAAGATCATCCGTCGGTCTAATTATTGGTCATCCATTCGTGTCCAAGTGGTGTTTTGTGACTTTGTATGGTGATGGTGGGTTGATCCTGTGGTAGACGAAATTGGCGTCAGACCGCCAAGTTTCGATAGCATCCGCCGTATATTTTCGGCTTGGGCGGGCATTTGCGCCCCGTCGATGGCGAATCGATTATGACTAACGTGTACTAGAGGACGGGTGCGACTGCACATCACAGTCAAAGCATCCTAAACCAGACGTGTCCTTAGCCATTCGCCGGTCATGTCACTGTAGTTGGCCAGACAGTCTAGACAGTTGACGTGGTAGGTGACTCCTGGCGAGTCCTCAGGCGGCAATCGACCCTCAGGCTGCATGAGCAAACGACCGATAAGAGGTCTCAGGCCGGTATCATATAGCCTACGTTGAGTGATATTATCATGCATCTTGTGACTTCGGAATATCTTGTGTTGTTTTCTCTGTCCGACAGCCTTCGTGTATTTTTGCAAAAACATTTGAGATTTGAGCTTTTGCAACTTCCCGCTGCCTGCTTCAGTGTGCACCAAACCGGTATCAGTCTAACTCTTCTAACCCCAGGATTGACCTATCAAGGTCATGCTAGGTCGTCAGACACTAACTGAGCGAGAAATGGACCAGTGAAAAGACAGACGAATCTATCACGAGTGACCACGAAAGATGTCTAAATACTGCATTTCCATCTTTGATACTGTCGGCGCACTCAAGCATGAAAGCAATACGTCGGGTGATCAAACTACGCGCCTCAGAGGCGGCGTTCCCTTCTCTCCCTATCTCAGCACCTGGAGTTTGCATAACTTCCCAATCCGTCGTCAGACGAAATGAAGATAAAAGAGAGAAGGACAAGCATTACGGGCGGACCATTGGCGTGTGTGGAGTTATGCAGGCAGGAAGTCAACATATATATATATGTGGTGAGGGGGGGCGCTCACTGATCGTTCTTACGGAACTCACTTGTTCCGATGTGTCTTTCTGGCTCTCTCTCTCTGTCTCTCGAGTCCAACTAGCAACCGCCACAGCGACGCATGATATAGGCAGAATGTTTTTACCGTTATTGCCATCGTATAATCCCGATCTAAACCGACCGGGCAACGAGTCCGACGCTCAGTGGTTAGAGACGTTGGAATTCTAACTAACTGGTAGTGATTTCGAGCCCTAGATGTTCCACACTTAGGGGTTGGGTATGACTGGATGATGACGTCTAATAAGCCAGAAATGGCCATTCCAGTCTCCCTTGTATTTGTCGGTAATAACGTTCTGCCTACATCATGCGCCGCTGTGCGGCTGCTGGCTGGGCTCGAGAGAGAGCCCGTAAGGCACAGCGGAACGAGTGGGTCCCATAAGAACGATCAGAAAACGCCCCTCCACCATTATATATATATATATAGGCAGAATAGTATTACCGACAAAGACAAGGGAGACTGGAATGGCCATTTCTGGCTTATTAGCCGTCGTCAGCCAGCCATACCCAAGCCCGAAGTGTGGAACACCCGAGCCTCGAACTCGCGACCTGTTGGTTTAGAAGTCAACGCCTCTACTCACCGGGCCACGAGCCCGTTGCCTTGTCGGTTTTCGATCGGGAATATACAATGTTAGGGGGCGCTCACCGATCGTTCATACGGAACTCACTCGTTCCGTTGTGCCTTATGGACTCTCTCTCGAGCCCAACCAGCAGCCGCACAGCGGCGCATGATATATAGGCAGAATAGTATTACCGACAAAGACAAGGGAGACTGGAATGGCCATTTCTGGCTTATTAGCCGTCGTCAGCCAGCCATACCCAAGCCCGAAGTGTGGAACACCCGAGCCTCGAACTCGCGACCTGTTGGTTTAGAAGTCAACGCCTCTACTCACCGGGCCACGAGCCCGTTGCCTTGTCGGTTTTCGATCGGGAATATACAATGTTAGGGGGCGCTCACCGATCGTTCATACGGAACTCACTCGTTCCGTTGTGCCTTATGGACTCTCTCTCGAGCCCAACCAGCAGCCGCACAGCGGCGCATGATATATAGGCAGAATAGTATTACCGACAAAGACAAGGGAGACTGGAATGGCCATTTCTGGCTTATTAGCCGTCGTCAGCCAGCCATACCCAAGCCCGAAGTGTGGAACACCCGAGCCTCGAACTCGCGACCTGTTGGTTTAGAAGTCAACGCCTCTACTCACCGGGCCACGAGCCCGTTGCCTTGTCGGTTTTCGATCGGGAATATACAATGTTAGGGGGCGCTCACCGATCGTTCATACGGAACTCACTCGTTCCGTTGTGCCTTATGGACTCTCTCTCGAGCCCAACCAGCAGCCGCACAGCGGCGCATGATATATAGGCAGAATAGTATTACCGACAAAGACAAGGGAGACTGGAATGGCCATTTCTGGCTTATTAGCCGTCGTCAGCCAGCCATACCCAAGCCCGAAGTGTGGAACACCCGAGCCTCGAACTCGCGACCTGTTGGTTTAGAAGTCAACGCCTCTACTCACCGGGCCACGAGCCCGTTGCCTTGTCGGTTTTCGATCGGGAATATACAATGTTAGGGGGCGCTCACCGATCGTTCATACGGAACTCACTCGTTCCGTTGTGCCTTATGGACTCTCTCTCGAGCCCAACCAGCAGCCGCACAGCGGCGCATGATATATAGGCAGAATAGTATTACCGACAAAGACAAGGGAGACTGGAATGGCCATTTCTGGCTTATTAGCCGTCGTCAGCCAGCCATACCCAAGCCCGAAGTGTGGAACACCCGAGCCTCGAACTCGCGACCTGTTGGTTTAGAAGTCAACGCCTCTACTCACCGGGCNTCTAAAAATTCACGGCCCTTTTTTGATGAGCAAACACCAACAATGCGAGTCCTGTCCCATGCGAATTTGTGGCCCGTTTCCAACGTATGCATGGCAACTTGGGACAAGTAGTCGCGCCTTCTTACGGCCAACTGGTGTTCGTGTATTCGCGTAGAGGCCGATTTCCCAGTTTGACCACAGTAAACTGCATTGCAGGTGTTGCATGGTATCTTATAGACGACTTAGGGTGTACAAGCTGGTTACGAAGTGTAGTCGTCGGTTTGTGCGCCACATGAATTTGGTGCTTCTTCAGGTGTCTTTCAACTAGTTCGGACACATTCTTAATGTATGGAAGTGTTCGCCAGTTTTTTGGCTTGGGCGCCTGATCGGAACAATCTAGTTCCTTCTCTTTTTCTTTTAACTCCTGTCGTCGCATGCATCGGTGTACAAAATATCTAGGATACCCATTCTGGGAAAACAGTTTGAACAGATACTTCAGTTCTGTTTGATATGTTTCGTTGTCAGAGCAGTGAGTTCTTGCTCGGTTAAGGAGGCTGTTCACGGCACTCCTTTTGTGAGAGATCGGGTGATTGCTCTCGTAATGCAAAAGAACTTCCGCGTAGGTTTCTTTGCGGTAAACCGAAGTATGAAATGTCCCGTCAGGTTTTCTCTGTACGAGGACATCAAGAAATGGGAGTCTGTTGTCAGCCTCCTTCTCGAGTGTGAATGTGATTCCTGGAAGTGTTGAGTTTATGATATTGTGGACTATTTCCAGTTGATCACTTTTCACAATGACAAACGTGTCATCAACATATCGTACCCATAATTTGGGGTTAACTAGTAGTAAGGCGATAGCCTCTAGCTTCTGCATCGTGATTTCTGCGAGAAAACCAGAGATGGGTGATCCCATAGGGGCTCCCTTCAGCTGCTGGTAGTATTCCTGTGCAAATGAAAAGTTCGTTTCTAGACAAAGATCTAAGAGTTCTAACAAAGCAGATGCAGGGATATCCATGTCGTGGTACTGGAGACGTTCCTCTGTACATTGTCTGGCTAAATCCAATGGTATGGAGGTGAACAGAGAAACGACATCGAAGGATACCATTATTTCATCTGCTGAGATTCTGAGTCCTTGTAATTTGTCCAGAAACTCTGCCGAATTATTGATTGATGTTTCACAATCCTTTGTCAACGGATAGAGTTTGTGAAATAGCCATTTAGAAATCTTGTAATTAGGTGCACCGATTAACGATACTATCGGTCGCAGTGGTATTTCAGGTTTGTGAACCTTAGGCAGTCCATAGATTTTAGCAATGACTGGCTCAGTTTGTCGTAAGGATTTGGCAATATCTCCTGATATTTGCTTCTTTCCTGTGAGACGTTTTAGAACTTTTTCAATGGCCGTACTCTGCTTTTTAGTAGGGTCCGTGGCAAGAGGTTTGTAGGTTGATCTATCCCTCAATAATGACAACATCTTTTCGTTGTAGTCTGCTTTGTTTAAAATTACAGTTGATCCTCCTTTGTCCGCAGGAAGTATGATAATGCTTTTGTCACTTTTTAATGTTTTAAGTGCCTTCATTTCTTCGTGCGATAGTACTGAAAAGGGGTTTCGATTCTTCAAGGCTTGTACAGTGCTATTCCGGATTGTGAAACGTTCATCGTCCGCAATATTTTCTACTGATATTATAGACTCCAAATTTGCAAGGAAGTCTAGGTATTTCGCATCGGATAGATTATATTTCATTCCCTTAGAAAGTACACTTTCTTCGGTCGTTGAAAGTCTTCTTGCTGACAGGTTCACTACCTTTGTCGAGCAAGTTTGGTCTGTAGAAATTCGTTGAGATATGGCTATCCATTTTTTGTCTAAGACACTCCTCTTTTTCTGTCTTTCGATGTTGGAAACACAGGTTATCGTTTCATTTAGAGATTCGACTACTTCCGAAATAGATTATCTCGGCAGAAATGCGCATGCGCATGGGTACGATATGTTGATGACACGTTTGTCATTGTGAAAAGTGATCAACTGGACATAGTCCACAATATCATAAACTCAACACTTCCAGGAATCACATTCACACTCGAGAAGGAGGCTGACAACAGACTCCCATTTCTTGATGTCCTCGTACAGAGAAAACCTGACGGGACATTTCATACTTCGGTTTACCGCAAAGAAACCTACGCGGAAGTTCTTTTGCATTACGAGAGCAATCACCCGATCTCTCACAAAAGGAGTGCCGTGAACAGCCTCCTTAACCGAGCAAGAACTCACTGCTCTGACAACGAAACATATCAAACAGAACTGAAGTATCTGTTCAAACTGTTTTCCCAGAATGGGTATCCTAGATATTTTGTACACCGATGCATGCGACGACAGGAGTTAAAAGAAAAAGAGAAGGAACTAGATTGTTCCGATCAGGCGCCCAAGCCAAAAAACTGGCGAACACTTCCATACATTAAGAATGTGTCCGAACTAGTTGAAAGACACCTGAAGAAGCACCAAATTCATGTGGCGCACAAACCGACGACTACACTTCGTAACCAGCTTGTACACCCTAAGGATAGGGTTGGCTATTTAGATAAGAAGGAAGTCGTCTATAAGATACCATGCAACACCTGCAATGCAGTTTACTGTGGTCAAACTGGGAAATCGGCCTCTACGCGAATACACGAACACCAGTTGGCCGTAAGAAGGCGCGACTACTTGTCCCAAGTTGCCATGCATACGTTGGAAACGGGCCACAAATTCGCATGGGACAGGACTCGCATTGTTGGTGTTTGCTCATCAAAAAAGGGCCGTGAATTCTTAGAGGCCATCCATTCTGACAGCGCGTGCATCAATCGACACGTAGAATTAGATACGGTGTACAACAGCCTCAAAGAAAAGTGGAAAAGGCGTTAGCCAATCAGAACATCACACCAGCAGGAGTAACAAGGCAAAATCGATTTTTCGGCATGTTTAAATGTTAACTGTGTTGCACACTTACTTCACGTCTGAAGACGACTTGGGGAACCAAGTTCGAAAATTTACAATAAAACTTGTTTAATATGTCCCAAAGAGCTGTTTTCTTTCGAAATATATATATATATATATATATATATATATATATTGAAATCAAAAACGTTCTTTGGGAAAGGGAGAAAACTTTATTGAGTAAATTTTCGACGTCGGTTCCCTGTGTCGTCGTCAGACTAGAGTAAATGTGCTGAAAACAATTAAAATTTCAAACGTGCTACAAAATCAATACTCATTTGGTGCCTCAGCTAGTAAGCTGCCGTCGTATGTGTCAATAAAGTTTTCTCCCTTTCCCAAAGAACGTTTTTGATTTCAATTTAAATTTCTTGGGATGCCTCCGACAGGACAACGGGCCCGTGGCTCAATGGTAGAGCGTTCAACTCCATGACCAAAGATCCCGGGTTCGAATCCCAAGTGATCCACACTTGGGGTTGGGTATGACTGGCTGATGACGGCTAATAAGCCAGAAATGGCCATTCCAGTCTCCCTTGTCTTTGTCGGTATTACCTTTCCAACATATATCACTAGTCGCTGTGCGACTGCCTGCGAGGGTTTAAGTATGAGCCCCAAGGCACAACGGAACGAGCATGTTCCGTAACCTGATCGGTGAGCGCCCACTATCATAAATATATATATATATATATATATATATATATATATATTAATCAGTGCAGAACTTGGAGTTAAATCTCCGGGACATGACTTTTTAGGGTCAGAACCGAAAATATATATATATATATATATTATGGTGTTTGTCATCCCCCGAAGAAGACGGAGAAAAGGCGACTTCATGGACCAAGTTGTATTCATGCCGACTTTTCGGAAGCTCTCGTTTCCATCATTAGAGTGACGCGCTGGTTTTCCTCCATGGCTTTGCGTTACTTAGCCCTGCCGCTTGCTTCGTATTATAACCGTGCTCGGCGCACGTACTTTGGTTGAACTGTTGACTGTAGGCTGGTTGTGACCTCTCGCACTCCACCATTACCGGACTTGTATCGACTTCACGGCTGTTGTGCTGGCCGCTAAGTCAGCGTGCTTATCGGCTTCTCACTCGTCAGACGACAGACTAGTCAATCGTAGCTGCTCATGCATGGTTCTTTTGGCCCCGCGGACGCGTCCAGACGGTGTGCCACACAGGTCACTTGACTTCCGGTCGGGGTCTCCCTTTTTTCTCGGAGGGCATCGGCTGCGGCCCCGTGTGACTTTTTTCCCCGTCCTACTGGCCGTCTGAACTGACTCAAGCCTTGTGCAGAACGCCTGATAGGGAGGATGTAGATTTATGGCTGGTTTGAGTGTGTCGGTCGAGGACTAACTTTGCAGCATCAGCCCGGTCATTTTATCATCAGCTCCGCCGATCACCCCCGCTTTCGTCAAGGTGAAACTGTGGTCCTGCTACTGAATGTGGCCATATACCAGTGATATGTTACCCCTGTCGTTGATTGCAAGCTGGTGTTCTTGTAATCCGTGGCGAGGCGTTTGCCCGCTTCACCAACATACCTTGCATCACAATCTTCGCAAGGTATGTTGCAGACCATTGCTGACTGTTCCGTCACTGGCAGCGGTCCTCTGGGCTTTGTGATTTGCTGTCTGATTGACGCCGGTTTATGAGCCGCGCCAGTCCCGAAAGGTTTCACGATTCTTGACATCGCCCCTGAGAGACCCTTTACAACGGGGATCTAGTACCAGGACTTTGTCTTCTCCCCGCACGACCGCCCAGGGTGGGACTTCCTGTGACACTTGTGCGTGAAGGACACCGGATAACTGTTGGCTATATATAAATATACGTAGTAAGAGGGCGCTCACCGATCGCGCTGCGAGGCATACTTGCCCCGTTGTTTTGGGGATGGATCTAGAGTCCCATAGACAGCGCACAACGACTGGTAAATTATGCAGAGGGAGATTATCGACAAACACAAAGGAAACTGGGATGGCTATCTCTGCCTTGTTAACCGTTGTCAGCCAGACTTGTCCAATCCCAGATTTCGGGGTACTCGGGGCTCGAACCTGGACTGTTTCGGTTATCAATCCAATGCTCTAGTCATTGAGTCACGAGCTCGTTGTCCTATCGATTGCTATCAATGGCCACCCTCCACATGGTTAGATACCCGTTACGTGGGAACTGTATCTAAAGTCATCGAAAGTGCGCTGATATAAAGAGAGCAGGATGATGTCCTTCAGAAACATCGAGCAACACTTGCGAAGTCTCTGACTGACGGTAAACCGTTGTCAAACGAAATGAAACGTGATGTGAGACGATCGGTACGATCCGATTTTTACAAAAGGCCTTCTCCTTTTCCATTACATCAGCTTAGAATGCACACTACATCGGTTCTGTTACACATGCACATAAGTTATTTGGGGTGGTGGACAAACGCAAGTAACTTTTTACAGAACCAAATAAAAACTACCGTCATTGGTGAATGATTGCGCCAATACCCGTATTTCAAACCCGGTATTACGATTGTGATTAACTGTTTATACGCCTAATGGAATTTCGCACACAACGGCCAGAGTGATATGTACACTAATGCATACGCCATCCGCCTGCCTCACCTTGGGCAACGCAAGACCTTTCTTAAACGGGTAACCGCTAAAGATGCGCATTATTTTCCGGCCAAGGTTGCACGTCGTTTCCAGGGTGTGAATGACTACTTCGGACAGATAGTATTGTTGATAGAGGCGAAGAGGCGAGCCTCAGGAAGTAGTCAATAAGAAGTGGACGCGATCACTGGAACAAGAGTCTTATATGCCTAACGTTTCGGATCCACCCTCGGATCCTGATGACTCGAGTATGAACACGAAATGACAGGTCAATAAAACCCTTGTTCCAGCGAACGCGTCTACTGCTTCTGGATAGTCCCGTTTCAAATTCTAACTGGTATTTATGTATAGAGGGACATTTAGCCTTTCAATCGTGATAACGACGAACTGTGTTGCCGTCACATTATGCTATTCCAAGGATGTATTCATCATTCAGGTAATCAAGACTGTCCTTGGTGTGCAAAAAAGAGAACCACTGAAAACCAATGGTACCTTGAAAGTCCTCTAATAGACTCGGACATATGTTGGCTTAGCAATTGACCAGCAAGGTGGCCTGTTTGAGCGTCTGATCATTCTCAGTGTCTGCACTTTTTTACCGAAGCCAGCAAAACAACAGCCCTGTGATGAGCAGCAGCACAGATGATCAATAATAAAGGAATTGACGTGACCACAATAACTTGAGTTAGAGGCGCCCTAACGCCCACCACGTATTACCTCGCTTGGTGAGTTCGAGCCGCGGTTTCGGCAAGGAGGGCAAAGATAGCCATTTGTCTGAGAGAGCGTAGCGTCGTCACTGCCGAAGGAGGGCGAAGAGCGAGGGGAGATGCTGGACTGCATAACCGGGTCGCAGTCAAAATGAACCATTTTTTGGCACTGGGAACACTTTCGGCCAGGCCAACTCATAGTGACCGCCACTCCAGCTCCTGAGGACTACAGAAATTTTAAAAAAAATGAAAAATCCCCCATCAGGAAAAAAAGGCGGAGACACAGACCATTGTCAGACTAAATACGAAAAATCAAACACGGTTATCGATGTACAATGCGCAGCTACGAATGAATTATAGACTTTTAGACTGGCATACGCTTTGTCACGAAGAGGACGTGTAAAAATTCGGGCGACTGAAGTGGTGCTGGGAAAGGAAACGTAAACAGCAGATATCATTGAGATGACGCCAAATGCAATGGTATTTTACTCAAACTTGGTAAGGACCGCGGCCAACGTACGTATGAAGCCTACTTCGTCAATATGGCAGACAGTTGGCTCGCCGCAAACGTGTTACATTCTCTGCACCTTAAAGTCACCGGCGAATCCACATTCTAACTGTAGATATTCGAGCTAGTTTCCTAACGTCATTCTTACTCTTCATATTCTTTACCATGGTAAACGACCAACACGACGTCTTATGGTCTTTGTTCCCTGACTTTGCCTCCAATCCTTGATGTGTATGACAGTGATCCAAAGTCCGGGTCTCCACAATAACACTCCGCAATGACAGGCACCAGGACTAAATTGTCCCCCTACAACAGGTCGCGCAGGACCAACACAGAGGCTACATGAGGATATGGCACGCGTTATTGGGCTGCGTAGCCATAACATTTGTCATACACTGGGGGTATAGTTGAACGCCTAGGCGCATGCTCATGACACGCCAGCCACCTGCTCTCTCTCTCCCGCCTCCTGTCTTCTTGACCCTGGCTTGACACTGTATCTAGATGGGTTGGGCGGGTTAAGGAGATGCAGAGCGAGCCTACTATCGCTATAAACTAATCCGCGCGCAAGTTACACCCCTGCGTCCACCTTGCTGTGGGACACACGGTGGACATCATCGGTTACGAACTGTTATATACGACTTTGTTGGCGTCGTGTTTGTGCCAAGAAAACCGCGTTCAGTTTCACAGCCCGTTGTTTTGGTAAATGTCACGGATAGTAGACCTGAAGCGGCTTAGACGCATAATGGAGATCAATAACCAGGCGGCAAACAACAAGTTTCAAAACAACTCGACACTTTATGACTCAACAAAAAAGATATTCGCTGGACACTGAAATAAATCTTACTAACAGGCTTTAGTCTTAGTGAGATCCGACATGAACCAATGAGACTTGCAGTACAATTACATTGTGCATTAATTTGCTCACGCCTTTTTCGTTGAAAGAAAGGTCAGAATTCACACGGATGCAGAAATATGAAAGTAATCAACAGAAGAGTTTCACACAGCAAAAAAGACAAAAACGCAGGAATATGAGCGCCTCAACTTACACCGAGGGAACAACGCCAAGCCCTTTCGCAAACCGCACAACAGGCGTTCTGACGTTTTCGGCCTTGGAAACAGCGCTCACACAGGGTATAGTTCGAATGCCATCGAATTGGAGGCTGAAAACGATGAGAAAGTATGGTTAGGCGCAAAGTTAGCACAGAAAAAGAAAACAGTAAAATAAGGCGGCGGCTCGAGCGAATAAATCGAGTTTCACCCAAAGAATTAAGTGTGCATAAGTGAACAGCCGACAAATGACGAAACCATCAAGGCTGGGAAGAAAACGCTTGATACGTGTACTTCCCACTTAAGCGAGGTTTTGGAGTAAAATATTTTGAGAAACCGAAGTGGTATACTGGAGCATAAGTGATAATAGGCCCAACGATGTCGCGCCGAAGGTCAATGTGGCCAGTTTCCTCTCCAAAGAATCCGATAATCATGTAAATTGTCGTCCTGAGTAGCCACTATGGGCAGAGAATAAAAAGGTCATCTAAAAAGACGGGCTAGTGACTAACCTGATTTGGAAGATCCGAGGCCTCGCCGGCAGAGTTTCCGACACTCTTGGAGGAGAAACGGCGAAGACCACAGTCTGTACAAACCCTGCACCGGTCGCATTTGAAGCCGTTTTTGGGTATATTTGTTACCGGAGGCTTAAGGCAGTACGTGTGAAAGCCCTTATCGCAAACATCACATACAAGCATTTTCGTTTCGTCCTTGCTCTCACTGAAGGAGACAGAGGAATATTGTGAATAGACGGGAAAATCAAGACAGCAGGAAAGCTCAAGATCAAATCAAGACTTCTCATGAGCTGATACAAGGACGCGCATACTGTTAGCTATGCCATAATTCCCTTACAGAAGGAAAAAAGTATTCAGATGGATAAGCATAAGTCGACCTGTTTTCTCACTATTCGCCAGAAAATCGGGATCACGTGTAGTCTCGTAAGGTTCTAAAACAGAATTCATTGTACCAGAGAGAGGTCGGTAGCATCTTTCCCCACACCGATGACAGACTTTCCCGTTAAGCGACGGAAGGAAACGCAAATCCTCAGGATTTAGAATATTTTGTTCACAGACGGGCCCTCCCTGACTTACGGTGAACAGATCCTCACCCGCTGCAAAAGTGCATGGAAATGCATACAATTTGGGAAATTAATGATCAAAGGACACGAGATAGGTAATTAGTAAGGACCAAAAATTCACTTTTGGCAGTGATGTGAGGATCCCAAGGGTTCGGACCCTGGTATTTACTATGACCAAGACACGCTATAACAACAGATCACTGCCAAGAATGAAGATTACAATGTGAGTTCCCAAATGTCTCGCCGGCGTCAGATACACACTGCATGACCAGCTAAACATACCATAGAAGCTAAAGTAGCTAAAGCATACTGCAAAAAGGCAGACAAAATAATTTTTGAGGGGCTAGGCTAAAAACACGGGGAAGACGATCAGCTAATGACATTTTGGGGTAGTCAAAAGCACAACACGTCGTTACTTCAAGATGCTGATTTCCCCACCAAATCGAGAACCTATTCCAACTAGTCGGACGGCGGCATACAGACAGAGTGGACGGACTCGCAAGCTACTACAAATACACCAGCTGAACATGAAATTCGTAAATAGGCTTGTAGGCCAAATGCACGTAGGGAGGGATCATAAATGCAGTTCCGCTTCTAGAAAAAGATTCGACAAGCGAAAAGAGAGGCGGAAAAATATACAACTTATAAATGGCGACATAAGATCTAAACGGTGCGAAAAGGCAAGAAAGGAGTACCTGCAGGAAAGACATGTTTTGCATTCCGGGCATTGCCAACCCACACGAACCGTCACGCTAAGAACAAGTGGAGGTTCGAGGCAGGAATTGTGGAAGTGATTCCCACAACTGGTGCAAAATATCATGTCCGAAACATCGTTCGTTTGTTCACAGATCAAGCAGGGAGTTATGTTGTCACCTAGCCGGACGGAAAGGCGAAACAGAAGATCTAAATTGTGCTGCATAACCAAATAAGCATTTAGACCAGCAGGCAATAATAAGGGATTCCCTCAGCACTCATTTAAGAGACCGGGTTGACAGTCTGGCTATAAAAGCAGTAAAAGTGGTTGGTGGCATTATAGTAGACAATGGACTGAGATCAAGGGAGCTGTAAAATAAATTTCATTTTGTAGTCCTTTTCTAAATCAGCGATTTCATCATAGGCTACCTGTGGTTAACTTCGCTAATGCATGCAACGGCAACATTATCCTTTCAAGTTGCATACTTTTATCGATTACTGTGTAACTAAATTCGAAAGTTGATCTAAATGTAGGAAGTTTACACAACCTAAGAGCGAACTAAACTCCACTTTCATTAAGCCCTCCAAAGTTGATTCGCTCTTACGACATTGATAGCAACTCAACACTCTATAAGTAGTTCCACTGAAAACGAACAAATCTACAAGGATACGCATGAGTCCCTTGATCAGCTGGCAGTCTCGTGAGTTTCATGCCTTTAAGTCAAAAGTCGAAGCAAGTCAGAACACAGGACACAATGAAGTCCTAGTAGTGGCAGTAGCCCTTTTACGCGTAGCTCCAGTGATACATTATGGTAGTGCCTTCATAGGTCCGACTTAAACGCAGAGAGGTTGAGCGCGAATTGCAGTTTAATAATAGGGCAGAAAGATTCATGTTAACAGCTAGTGGAATGGCGAACGCCAAGACCAAGTTATCGTGGGTTAGAAAGGCGTTAGCTAACACAAAGCATGACAAAGGGTGCGTGAGCAGCAGAGATGAATCCTCCAACAGTAATTCCGACTTTCAGCTGACCAAGTGGTCAAAGCACTAGAACAATGGAACACGATGAACAGCACAACGGTAGAAAGGCACTTTTGGGCATGAAGTAATCCTGGGCACTTAGTAGTCGTCCGATGGTAAAAAAAACGCACTAAAAACGACCTTCCTCGCATTGTGTCCCGACCGACTGTGCGGACGATAGCGTTGGAGGTATAAATATATGCGAGATATTGCTGGCGGAGTCAATTTCTGCAAAAGTGTAATTCTGTGACTATAATGAATGATGTTTTATCGCATGAACGACAAGACAGTGATTGAATTAACAGAACTGTTCAAAAGAAGCCGATGAGGATTAAAAACAAATCCGGTTGAATTTCATAAGGTCACGTGAAAACAGTCCACAATTCGCTAAGGCAGAGCAGTAAAAAGCAATGCAGAGAAAAAAGGCACGAAGGAATGCGGAAGAACGGTCAGACATACCGAAAATCATTGAGTGGTCAAGATGCGAAGGACAGAAAATTTCCAAAGACCGAACTTCCTGATAGCAACCAGCGCCGGCCGCACAAGGAAAGTGGAAACTGCGAGAGCAACCATCAGCGCGGCAAGTGAGACTGGCTCCAAGGCGCATGCATAGAGCACATAGGGTGTTCATCGCACGATGTGCAGCCTCCTCAACACCTTCAAATAATTTCTATAGAGGATTTAAGGTGTTTTCTAGCAGAAAGCGAATAACGAACCTGTTCGTTCATAACTACACCATCAGACCACGAGGCACAACAGTGGTGCGCAAAAAACCAACTTCCCTCACCGCCTTCCCTTGGCGCACAGGCCAGAAGAAGGCACTCGAGACGCAATTGTTCGTCAGCGTTTGGTGAAACTGGCCAACCCATACTATTGAGCTCATCAATAAAACCAAATGGTCGGCCATCCGAGTCAACAAATGCATTTGGAAGTCCGCTAAGAGCGGGTTTTCCGTCAAGTCTACGGAGAGGTTAGGAGTAAAAAAGGCAAATAATGAAATACTCAATGATTTTTCCTTCTTGAAGTCTTCGGCAGGCATCAAAAGAGCAATAGTCTCCGACGAGACTTTCAGCTCCATTTAAATGAAGAATTGGTGCATTGAAAACAGGTGTTTCTGCTGAATGTCTCTTACTTCCGTATGCCAGTCTGCCAGACGACCTTTTGCTTGTAGCATGCACTCTCATTTCGGCGTTGACGACGTTTACATACCATTCAGGAAGACAAGCGGGAGTTCTGGAGGTACGAAATCGACAAAGTTCACCTTGTCCGAACTTGGCCGACCCGTCCATCCCACAGAATACGCATCTGGGAAGCTTGCCCAAAGGAGACGCAACTGTTAATGAGTCCTCCATATTTTCGAAAAAGATTTATCAGTGGAATCCAGAGAGCACCATTGTTGGAGGCGACGAAAGAGGGGGCCGCTGACGGAGCTACGCAAAAATTAAATTTATTTAATTGAAGCCTGGTGAGCAAGTTGTCAAAAAGGCCAAAAAAGCAAGGGGGTGTCATTTTAGAAACTAACCCCTGTATGAGTTTGGGCGTCAGATGAGATTACACTGGCACACATGAATGCAGTATTAATGACAGAATTTAATCGGACGATCAGGAATCTGAGAGCAGTTAGTGTGAGGACTGAATAGTGAATAAAGAAATGGATAAAGAAGCATGCGCTCTACATCCACCATCAGGAACAAGGCGACGCAAATTGCCGTCTCTAATTCAATTCTAGACATCTTGTCTCCCTTCGACAGTTTCCTTGCCAGTCTAAAGTGTCTGAGGTGGGCTTTACCCAAGTTTATAATGAACTACAGACAACCTGGACAAGAATTGCACAGCACTTGCGAATTATCTAAAAACTAGCTACCAAACAAAACGAAATTAAATGTACCTACAAAAATAAAGTTAAGACGCACTATAATCAGGTGTTCAGATATTCGAATATAAGTACAAAAATTCACGTGTGACGATTTATCATGAGATAAGGAGTTCTAGAAAATGACTATTGAGGAAAGTAAGAGCTGAATAGATTTAGGTAGAGCAAAATGGTCATGAGTAATGAGCTTAGAGATTCAACATGGCAAACGCCAAGTAATTCGCAAGCGATTCTTACAGAGAATGAAGATAGAACTCGCAACAACTAATACAAAAAATTACCTCAGAATGAGAATTGTTCACGAAAACAATGGTTGAATAGGAGGTCTGGTGACAATAACATATACTAGTAACGTAACTGCAGTTTACAAGGCATTATATTACTGTAAACAACGTGCCGGCGAAATCAAAGAAAGAGTTAATGATAAGTGAATAAACCAAATTCTAGATCTTCGATGAGGATGACTTGCGCACATGGTCAAGTAGATATGTAGTACGCAGTTTTACAATCAAAAACGGGAGAAAAATCATGGAACCGCCATTTTCATGCATGTCAGCTCAGCAGAGCAAATAATAGAAACGCAAATCAACGAAATGAACGAAAAATGCTGAAAATAAAAGGAAAGTGCGAGAAACTAGGGGAGAAAAGTCCAGTCAGGCGAGTGGCACACACCGAAGACGTTTTCAAATATACACCAGTAGCAGAAGTAACGTTAAAAGAGCGCTGGTCAGAATATAATTGCGGGAGCGAATTGGGTTTGAAATTTTAATGTAGACTGCGGTCAGTGCGGTATTGAGCGGGGCAACTTGTAAGTTCCTGCCTTTTCAATTGTCAACTGCCTTCGATTTCAGTCCCCTTTATGTCTAGCAACTTGAAAAAGCATTTGAACATTTCCCTTGTAAAGGGAATTTTTTGACGTGGTTGGGCGAATTTGCCGGTGTCTTTATAAAGCATATCATACGCAAGGCTTATCGAGAAGTACCTAAGCTCTTGAATGACAGGCAGTTTTTCACAGGAAGGCGATGTAATAATTAATATTTGCTTTTTCCTTTTAAAGCCACCACGTTTTTAGCAAACGCTTATTTTTACGGGCGGATTGATTTTTAGCGAATACCGAAGAACTTCATCCATCGCCTGCTATTTGATATCTGTCTATGGAAAAACTAGCGGTGAAAATTTTAGTCAGTCGACATCAAACTTCTTGATGAACTTTCAAGTCAACGGAGAGCTAAGTCATTATTTTACTTCAGAGGTGTTTTGGCAGATTTCAAATAATTCATCCTGACCTAATTGTGAAAACTTTATTTCTGTGTATTTTTATCAAGGTAAAGATATCCCAACCCTTTTGAACTCTCTAATGGTTGCAACTATATTGAAAGGAACATTGTTATATAAAATTGTTGAAAATGAGACCGTTTACATTAGTGAAGTTGATAACTAGGTAGCTCGCTAACGTATCTGAAAACACAAACTTAAATCGTACCTAGTAGTTGTGAGTAATACATTATCATGTAAATGTAAACGTGAGCTAACGGCAGGTGTGTGCTCCGGAGGATTTGGTTGCTACATACAGATGGATTTTGGCTTTAAATAATAAACGTATGAGGATTGAATGTCCTCTGTGGGTAAGACCTTCCCCATTTAAGCCATTTTGTTACTGTAAAAACATTTGCAGACATCAATTAAGGCTTTTCCTGGACGTAGTTTTAGGGCTTGACCGCGTGAAAGGGTGCGTTGGGGTGAATGAAAAAATCATTAGGAATAAGTCAACGGTCTAATCCATGTATGATGCCGAATGTTTGTATGAGGTCCCCTCGTAACTGCCCGTAGGAAAAGGGGAAGAAGCCGTGGGTCGACCGCCGTATTCAGTATTCAGTTTATATGAGGGATATAGACAGAGCATTGGAAAACCCTATTTACAGATAGATGTATAAAAAGCATGCATATATTTACACAACAGTTAAGTCAGTCATTGATATCGAGTAAATGTTTGACCGGTTTTGGAAGGGTTTTGACCCCAAACGTTTGACTACCTTTTCCTTTCGTCATTGGACCTTTTCTAAAAGGGTGCGGTCCATGTGGGTCCAAGGTCACCATGCCTATATAGCATACTCCAGATACGGCCGCATGAATGTTCCAAATATTTTGGAGATGTCTTCGATGGAAGCCAACAGGCCAGCCAACAGGAAGCAGTTCAGAAGTAGAAGAAGAAGAAGAAGAAGAAGAAGAAGAAGAAGAAGAAGAAGATGATGATGATGATGATGATGATGATGATGATGATGATTATGACAAAGTAGAAGAAGAAAAAGAAGAAGAAAAGGAAGATGGGATCACTTGAACAAGAAGTTTAATGTCTTGATGTTTCGGATTCACATTCGAACCGACAATCAGGGTCATTTGCAGGTAAAAAGTAGCGGAAGCACAAGGACCGCTGTATTTATAGTACATAACTGTCCTGGGGCCACATACGTACTACAATTAACAGCTCCCTTGATCACCGCTGGGGTTCGTAATCAGGGCGTGGTTGCCTCGCCAGTCCAGGTCCGAGTCGTTAATCGCTGCAATCGCATCATCCTTGTTGGATTTTGTCGTGATGATAATGATGACGACAACAATGCTGATGATGTCGAAGGATCGTCAAGCTAACATCCAACACGGATGATGAAATTGCGGCAATTAACTACTAGGGCACGAGTTGATGAGCCATCATCGCCTTTATTACGACACCCAGCGGTGATTTTGAGGGCTGTTAATTATAATACGCATGCGGCCCAAGGACAGCTACGTGATATAAAGACTGCAGTCATTTTGCCTCCACCTCCCTTCTCTGCAGCCGTCTCTGATGATTGATTCGAGTGAGAATCCGAAACATCAGGCCATTAAACTTCTTGTCCGATTAACCACTTCTTTTTCTTCTTCTTCTTCTTCTTCTTCTTCTTCTTCTTCTTCTTCTTCTTCTTCTTCTTCTTCTGAAACTGTCTTCGTCAGACACCGTGAAGGCCCACCTAATGAGCTGTAATGAAGACATGGTCGACTTAACCGCCTTCTTGTAGTTTACTGATGCTTTGAACAAAGATTTTATCCAGGCACCCAAGTCCTTCTGACTGTCAACTACGTCAGTGGTTTAGAAAGTAAGTCCCCGGGGTGGGGTCTATGCGGCTACCGACTTGAAGAAGGTTGTACTTGCTTAGACTGAAGGTCAAAAGCGAACCCTTCTACCAGTTCTCAAGGTAGTTCAAGTTTGCTTGCAAGTTGTCTTCGTCCGCCGAACTGTAAACAATTTTCCTCAATTTGATGTCATCATCGAAGAGAGCGTTATCACAATTTATATATCTGACGCAGTCACTGATGAAGACTAAGAGAAATGTGAGACCTAAAACGGAGCTCTATGGGACACCACTCATCGCAATTAACTGTGAAGATTGATCGTGTCAGATTTACACTCTTCGGGACCGTTCAGTCAGAAAGTTCTAAATTTGTGTGAGGAGACTGCTGCGAAATTCCCGTGCTGTACAGTTTGTGTAGACGACGTTGGTAAGGAACTTCTTGAAGGTCTTTTTGAAGCCGATGTAAATAGCGTGCACCATACTGCCTTCATCACCTGCCTCGGTCCAGCGTTCAAAAGAAAACAGAAGGTCTGTAAGACGGGGCATACCACTGCGAAAGCCGTGTTGGGCATCTGATAGGGAGGAATTTTGCTTAAGAAAGTGCATCCAAGCCTTCTTTATTATTGTCTGCACGATCGAGGTGGGACCACCAGCCTGTAATTATTCGCGGATGCCCCAATTACAATCTTGAATAGCGGAGTGATAGCTGCGGCCTTCCAATCGGAGCTTAGACACCCGGAAGCAGGTTACGCCGGGAATAGCAAGGCTAACGGCTTGACCATTTCTGAAGCGAGCTCTTTTAGCAGCTTGGCTTTGATTTCATCTGGACCTGGCGAAATAAACTCTTTTAAATTCAGCAGCTTTGTCGAATGATATCTTCGGTAAAAGAGACTGCCGCGATGGTAGGCACATTACCGTCGTAATAATTAGGGGGAGAATGTGAGTTCTTTGGTGCAGACGGACTAGGAGACCTCAGAGAAATGCTATAATTTGTCCGTAGACTACGTGCATTCAGCACCTTCGACAGCTTTCAACAGTGGGATGGGATCCTTGTTCCGAGTATTCTTTCTTATGTGACTGTAAAGAACTTTAAGATTAAGCATGGAGCGGTTCAAAAGATCCTTTTTCTGGTCTTTCGTAGAGAGAGTTTTGACCCTATTTCTCTGTAACTTCTGAGTGAACAGTGATTCGCGGATTCCATCTATGGGGACATTCTCCTGTGATTTCCTCTTTTCGTTAATTTCATTATTTAAAATGCGGTCAGTCGTTAAAGAGGTAATGGTGAACGTCCTCTTTAAACTGGCCCCGA